TTTTGATTAAAAATGCATTCAATTTATGACCTTGTGCATTTGAATCATGATAAATCATGTATTCCTAATAAGTATTCATAACAGTATTTCTAATCTGGCCAACCTGTTATTACGAGTACTTCTGAGTTGAGAAAACTCACAGAAAACTTCCCAGGTGAACATCTGCAATTAATCAATTGGATTATCAATGRCATCTATAGTATGAATACTTAAGTTTCATAATGATTACCTCATGGTATCTAGTCCTTTGACCTCTATACCTTTCTCTGCTACTTTCATTGATGACAATTTTTCATTTGAAGAGATTTTAGAGCTTAGCCAAGCACCCTCCTCATTAGCAAATGAAAACCTGATTATTAAATAAAATGTTTTGTTTGTATTAGTTGATAAAATCACCAAATGAATAATATTATAAACTAAACATAATGAATGATTCAATCACATGTTTATGRACGTCTTTAATTGAAGAGAATTGGATGAATATGACTAGCCATCCCCCTCTCCCCGGTGAAGAAAACCTGTTTCTCCTGTATGGAGAGTATTGAGGAACAGCTGTACATGGGCTAGAATTCTACCAACCTTACTGTTTCATTGTTTGGTGACCAACACACCAGTGATCCTGTTAGGATTCCACAGATTCTTTCTCCAGAAGACTGCACTTTATATCTGCTTTGACACCACTCAGATGACTGAGAATACTGTAATAAATATCAAACTTCACCAAATAATGCATCTAAAMCTCATCACAAACAAAGGGATTACCTTAGTGAACACATAACACGATCCATCCCAACATGCAACAGCAATGTTTTGACTGTCGGACGAAAAACTTATTCCTGTTATCCTTATAGTAGAGAGGAGTTTATACCAGAAATCTACAAGAACAATAAGGCTATTAACAATCTCATTCCTTATAAGATTAATAAATGAATTTTCTATACCCTTCTTATCTCCTTGAAGACTCTTGACGTTCCATATTCCAAAATGACAGTCTAAAGCGGCCTGCAATTTAAATCTTAATCATTTCTTTGCAAAAATCAATGAGYAGAAACTGAGACAAACTCTACTTACTACTGCCAGATAATTTAGGTCTGGAGAAAAGTCTACCAAAACTATAGCAAGGTCATTGTGAAGATGAATGCCTTCTTTCTGAGAAAAATATTTTCAAAATGTTATCACAGCCTTTTCACATTTTATTGRGACTAAACTTTGACAGAGATAACACCAGKCAACCAGAATCAACCAGTAAAACAAGATGGAGCTGGAGATGTAACCAATCAAATCATTATCAGGCATATTTATACCATACTAAACAATATTGAACTCATCAAATTATCTAAGTTGTCTTCAATGTATTTCTATATAGGTGGTGAGCCCATATAGTCATAAAACTGAGCCTCTGTGTTGTTTATATGCAATATACCAGTCAAGCTTACCACTGTGTTGTTTGTATCAATATACCAGTCAAGCTTACCACTGTGTTGTTTGTATGCAATATACCAGTCAAGCTTACCACTGTGTTGTTTGTATGCAATATACCAGTCAAGCTTACCACTGTGTTGTTTGTATCAATATACCAGTCAAGCTTACCACTGTGTTGTTTGTATCAATATACCAGTCAAGCTTACTCTAATGATAATGATGAATTACCAGTCAAGCTTACCACTGATAATGATGAATTGTCCAATTGTAAGTGGTATATTTCCACACCATTGGGTCCAGCAATAGCTGCTTGGTAAGACTACCAAAAAAGAAAGTCAATATCATGGAATTGCTAACCAGACACCATTATAAGGCATTAATATTACCCAGTACTACCTGTATTTTACTGTCACTATATGGTTTGCACAATTCNACTTTTTAGTTCTTATTTCATGGTTCATGTGACTCTGCTCTACAATTAGCTTTTAATAAATAAAAAATATATACCATGTAAATGTAAGCCTTCTGACTGAGCACTGCATATATCTCATCATCTGAAGACCATGTGTGTCCCTCTAATGTCTCACTGTCATGTTTTAGCGTCTTCAACACAACTCCACGTGGGATTAATGATGTCTTATCTAGCAAGAAGACAAGAATTAACTAAGCTTTCACGAATGTCAATGACTTTTTCTACAAATCGCTTACCTTTTATTTCAATAACAGTCGTCAATCCAAAATCACATAAAAGACTTAGATATTTACAATCATGAGAAAACTTAAGACAGTTTTGTAGCGTTGCTGCAGGAGGGTTGAGTTTTCCATCGACTTTTAGACAATCCAAACCTCCCGCCATTTTGGATTAGCACTAACGAGAGGGACTAGGGAGAATAAACAAGACACAGGTATCCCAATACGGTAAAAAATTTTATTCTTTGCAAAACATGTTCATTACAATAAATATAAATTTCACTCCAAAGWAATATACTATTATAGATATACAAATGTATCAATGTAGATATAACTTTTGATCTACTATATCAAAAATGTGTTTTTTGTTCTACCGTAAATACATTACTTTTACCAAATCATTTTTTAGTTAATTACTTTGTGCAAGATCATTTTAAAACTGCTCATTCAAAGTRAAATGAAATCTCTCATGTTTCTTGCACATGACACCATTTTTCTGATACTCTGCTACTCGYTTCTCAAAGAAGTTAGCCTTTCCTTCAAGTGAAATGTTTTCCATAAATGTAAATGGGTTTCCTGTGTGGTACACCTTTGTAAAACCAAGGGCAACAAGCAATCTGTCAGACACAAATTCAATGTATTGACCCATAAGGTTACTGTTCATTCCAAGGAGATGACATGGAAGGGCATCAGTCCAGAACTCCTTTTCAATGTTAACAGCTTCACAAATAATCTCCCTAACCCGTGCTTCAGTKGGTTTRTTGATAAGTTTAGAGAACATCAAGCATGCAAAATCACAGTGAAGACCTTCRTCTCTGCTGATTAGTTCATTAGAGTGTGTTAATCCTGGTAATAACCCACGCTTTTTAAACCAGAATATTGCTGCAAATGCACCAGAAAAGAAAATCCCCTCAACTGCAGCAAATGCWACCATTCTTTCTCCAAATGAAGCAGTCTTYGACTTAATCCACTTAATAGACCATCCAGCCTTTTTACTAACACAAGGGAAKGTATCAATAGCATTAAATAACTTATTCTTTTCTTCCTTATCCTTGATGTAAGTATCAATCAAAAGACTGTACATTTCGGAGTGGATATTCTCCATTGTCACTTGAAAGCCATAAAAACATCTTGCTTCTTGTACTTGTACTTCTTGGCAGAATCTTTCAACAAGATTTTCTCCTACAATTCCATCGCTGGCTGCAAAAAAGGCTAGCACTTTTGACAAAAACCCTTTCTCACTGTCCGTCAAAGTACTCCAGTCATTGATATCTTTACTTAGGTCAACTTCTTCGACTGTCCAAATGGAAGCTAGTGCTTTCTTGTAGAAATGCCATAAGTCTGGATGCTGAATTGGAAATAATACAAACCTATGTGGATTGTGCTTCAACAAGGGCTCGTCTAGTTCCAATTTATGATTGATATTGTCCATGGTTACCAAAAAAGTAGAAAGAAATACTGCAAAACATGAAAAACACGTGGAAATGACAAATTACAAATGCATGTTGGTTTTAAATAATTATGCAATAAATGGAAAAAGACTGGTGCGAGCTCATCACCAGGCCTTTTAAACAATTTGACGCATAAATTATCCAAAATGGCGGTCAGCCTGAAGTGTTTTTGTGGACAGTTTTCGTGATGGTGTTAGCTAAGATCTACGGCGTTTCTTCAATTTCTTTTGGCTCTAAGTATGGAGACGACTTCCTAGATTATAATGCAGTATTGCCGTCCCAGGAAAATGAATTTAGCAAAGATAATTTTATATCCTTAGAAGTCAAACTTGATCCGAACTGCTCAGATGGTTTTAGAAATCATAACCTTAATGTTCGTTGCAGACATTTTACACCTGAGGAGATCAAGAGCCTTGAAGGTGGTGCTACATGTGAAGAAAACGGGGAGAGATATTTACACTTGATATTATGGGAAGACGACTTATCAAGGCATGGTCTTAGAACAGGTCATATAGTAGATATCGACATGTTACCTATGAAACTCTCACAGGTTATACTAACTGCCAAATACGATAAAAAACATGCACAAGATCTTTCACTTCTTTTGCATGGTCCCGARCATTTTCTTTTTGATAAAGTCATGTCTGTAGGTAATCAGAGGTTTTTAGAATTACAGCATGAAGGTCAAGCTTTTAAAGTAGAATTAGAAGTCAAACATTGTGAACCAGTGTCACAAGGAACAACAGATCTTAACRCAAAATGGGTTATAATTGACGCAAGTTATGAAGACAGCTTAGAGTGTATTGGCAACACTTGTCRATCCAATGCATCYGTTGATATCAAAGAYAATCCACTACCTCTCCTWATTGCTGACTTTGTTTCTCCTCTCAAAGATCTGTGGGATGAAAATCTCCAARATAAGACAAAACRGTTKAGGATTGAAGTYGAATACTGGAATGATTTGCATCTTGCATTTATGAATTCAATAAGGAATGAATGGAAATTTGATGAACATGATACMCATTGCATTTATGTTTCCATGGAAACTCTGATGGAACTGCAAGTCCACRATGGTTCCTGGGTAAAAGTTTGGCTACATAAAGATACGTCAAAGAATAACATAKCAATRAAAGGCACAATCAAAAYTGAAACTACATGTATTCAAACCRTGGAAGAAGAAGCCAGCAATTGTAGCACTTCAATCAGTGACAGAAAAGCAACAGGAAAAGCTGGCAGTAGTACTTGTCATTATGTGCAACTCCTTGCAATTACTCCTATTGAGAAAGCTTTAAACATTTACATCCCAAAGGCACAGCAAATCCAAGTTCTTGACATGGATGAGTATATTATGAAGGCAAGGAAGACGGTGCATGTTTCATCAGTATTGATGTTCAATCTTTTACAAAGTGTTCCCAATAATGATTCAAGTGAATTATTTTTGAATCTCGACACAGAAACAATGAAATTTGCTAAACCTGACTTATYTAATACAACTTCAGTATCATTTGCACAAGATGCACATTTATCCCTCATCAAGACCCCCTTCACAAACCCAGGTGATGCATTTGATGAATCATTAAAGAGACATTTTTTCAAACCAAGACTGTTAACAGTAGGGGATGTTTTGTGTGTCAACTTTGACAGTAAAAAGGACTCAGTAAATTCATTGATGGTAGAAGAAAACAGAAATTTAAGGACTATCTATTTTAAAGTCAAGAGACTAGTTGTATCGGGTAAAGATGAGTCATCAGGTTTGGTTGATACAGATCATACTACAGTTTATCAGGTAACACAATACTTACATCGTAAGCGCACCATGAACACTATGACAATGTTTATTCATTTTTTTATTTTTTGCCTATAGACCACATCAGTCCATAGTTTTGTTCCAACTTATACACAATCATTTGTGAACAAATCAAACTATTGGTTGTTAAAAACACCACCTGGTCTTCATGAACCTACAAGGGAATTGATTAACATCATTAAACCTTACTTGAAGGAACAGTAAGTACAAAATCATTGAACCTTTAGTATTCTAAAAGTAGCTTTTGATCACCATTGTGTGAAGAGATTAGAGTTACAGTACTTTGTTAGGGGCTCCATGTTATTTGTAATTTTTGTTTGTGCTTCATATTGTTTTAAAAGATACATTCATGTGTCCAATCAGTGTCCAATTGCTTTCTTGTAGTGTGAATATGATGCCAGCTGTACTGCTGACTGGACCTAARGGAGTAGGTAAAACAACAGTTGTCATGGCAATAGGAAGACAGCTTGGTGTGTGTGTTATGAACATCAACTGCTATGACATGATTGGAGAGTCTATGGCCGCAACAGAAAGCAGAGTAAACAACTTATTCCAAAAAGGTTTGTGAAAATTAATGAAATATGRAACTTCTGCTGGGGATAKTCTGTAAGAAAACAAGGTCAAYTGTATTTGTAAGAGCATACTTTTAAGAGTTAATTATTGTATTTTTTTCAATAWTTTTGTGTCTAGCCATGAACTCTCGACCATKTCTTCTACTACTCCGTAACATTGACATACTAGTCAAAGACAGAGATGGACTTGAAGATGAGCCTCGTGTCACCAGCACCCTCATGCAATGCATTGGYAACTTAAAGGAAGTAACAATGTGGCCAGTAGTTGTCATAGCAAYGTCATCTTCAAATAATCCMCTTYCAACACAGCTTTATTCATGTTTTCTTCATGAGGTCAGTGTACAGACTCCTGCAGAACCACAAAGAAGGCAAATAATWGAAGCCCTGGCATCAATGTGTCAGGTTGACCAAGATGTGTCCTTTGGCTTGGTATCAAAGAAAACAGCAGGTCTAGTTTTAGCAGACATTGTTTCTCTGTTCACCAAGGCTGCCAAGAATGCTTGCGAAAGACTTTTAAAGAAGACTCAAATCAATTCCACTGAGCAAGAAGACTTCATTACTGTAAAGGAATTTGATAATAAATATRATGAAGGGCTTGATGAAAGGTTTGATGCCAAMATCAACMGGAAAGACTTTSAAGAAGCCATTGAGACCATTAGAGCAGAGCACTCTGATACTATTGGTGCCCCTAAGATTCCTAATGTTTTATGGCAAGATATTGGAGGATTGATTGATGTAAAGGAAGAATTATTAGATACCATACAACTACCGCTTCAACATCCTGAACTATTTGCATCTGGGCTTAGACGATCAGGTAAAATTTGAATGCTCTTGTTGTCATGTTGATAAAACTTAGCTTCCCTGATCAACTCTTCTAATTGTATGATTAGGTGTTCTTTTATATGGCCCTCCTGGTACTGGCAAAACATTGTTGGCAAAGGCTGTTGCTACAGAACGTTCTTTTCATAATGTTGATAAAATGTTCTTTCCTTAGCTTCCCTGATCAACTCTTCTAATTGTATGATTAGGTGTTCTTTTATACGGCCCACCCGGTACTGGTAAAACATTGTTGGCAAAGGCTGTTGCTACAGAATGCTCCTTAAACTTTCTCAGGTATGATTCAGATACTTATTAATTTGATTTTCAGGTAATAATATTTAAACAACCAGAATAGTAAAGAATAAAATATTTGTCTTTAGTGTGAAAGGCCCAGAGTTAATCAACATGTATGTTGGGCAAAGTGAGCAGAATGTCCGTCAGGTTTTCTCAAGGGCACAGAGTGCGACACCATGTGTTATTTTCTTTGATGAACTTGACTCACTGGCTCCTAACAGGGGGAGGAGTGGGGACTCTGGAGGAGTTATGGACAGGTATGGAGACAATACTTGTTAATCAATTATTACATCTTTGTCTCACCTCAAACCGTCTAAGTAACACTTTGTCATTCATTTCCTTAGAGTTGTCTCACAGTTGCTTGCTGAGCTGGATGGTCTGCATAAGTCATGTGATGTATTCGTTATTGGTGCAACTAACAGACCTGACCTACTTGACCCAGCCCTTTTAMGACCTGGTCGCTTTGATAAGCTTCTTTATCTTGGAATAAGTGAAGATCACGAAGCACAGCTTAAAATCCTACAGGCTTTGACAAAGAAGTGAGTTTCTTTTTACTAAAYGTTACATTAAGGTTGATGGTATCTTGTGTTGTAAGATTTGGGGGAGGGGGAGATCAAGGAGTTTTTTTTATATGCAGAATATTGAGTATGKACTTTTAAACCATACTTTATAGGTTTGAATTGGACCCTGGTTGTCAATTACAAGCAATCAGCAATGAATGCCCATTGAACTTCACTGGTGCCGATCTTTATGCATTGTGCAGCGATGCCATGCTGAATGCAATTAAAAGAACAGTAGCAGAWCAACCAGGTAAACAATTCCCTCATCAAAATCTGTTTTTCTTTTTCATGTAGTTTTGAATTAAGTTCATGTGTTTTTTTAGGCATCAATAATGAGACAGAACCAAGGTTCTGTGTGAAGCAGGAGGACTTTCTAGAAGCATTACATTATCTTACACCATCAGTATCTGAACATGAACTACAAAGATATAAGAAAATTCAGCAACAGTTGTTGACTTAAAGGTAAGTTTATAATCATTAGCAAGCAATTTTTGCAAAAAAAAAGGGATTTGGGGGCTCCCTGTGTAAAATAATTCAGGAGACAGGAAGCCCAAAATCTGAACACATGATACGTGATAGCGGCAAAACCACGAAAGTTAATATCAATTATCCCCTAAGGAAATAATTCTGGAAGTTTTAATCGRCACGTGGATTTAATTAGCGTATAAAGCGTTGTTCTAGAAGATTCTGTGACATTTTCTTTTTAACGAAAAATTACAATCCACCAGCTATAGAGCTGACAAAAAAACGCTTTGTTTATCATAGCAGCCCTGCTGTGCGGTTTACTAGTCAAGCCGGTGAAAAATAATTACAACGATCACGATAATAGCCCGGGTGAGAAAATGAATGGATAGAAATTGTGMAAGGAAACTGATGCATTAGTAATGCGAGAATTACGAAAAGATTACTTTATCAAGTGTGACCTAAAAAGTTGCTGGGATTTGAGTCTTTAAGAGACTATTTGGGAAAACTTATCAGCTAGGTTTTGAAAGCATAGGACATTAAAAGAAAGAAAGAAAGAAAGAGAGGGAAAAGTTCGAGGCGTCCGCGGTCACTGTGTATAAGAAAAACACGAAAATATGAAGAGAAAACACTTCTATTGATCAAGAAGTCCTGCGGCTGTCGAATGTTCTGGAAAGTTGCATTTATCATACAGATGAGACTAASWAAATACGACGCTCTTTCCAATTCCATTCAAAGGAAGTCCTTCTACGCCTAGGCCATATCAATTCAGCTTAATGCATATGATTCTTCTAGAAGATTCTACTGTTTACAAAAGCAAAATAGCTGTTGGGATTCTTTTCATAAGACACAAGATTGAAGTGCATAAACTCGGCTTGTTTGCTGAATGTCAATCTACTCTTCGTTGAGCTGTTAGAACATTCTAGTGAATCTTTCTGTCCAACCGGAACGTCAATAATAACATGGGCTGCAGACATGTGAAAGCCGTATAGAACTGGCTGAGCTGTAGTACAGGATTTTGCCTCAAAACATAGCGAGTAAGGTGACCTGCATGGCACAGTCRCAGCCACACGARACGCTAGTTAATATTCCACAAGACGGGTAGGTGGAAATGAGGGTTTTTCCTTTTTATAAAATCGACGTTTTTGGYTGCMTGAGGCTTCAACTTTTGCAAGAAAGTCAACTTACTTATTTGAAAATATTTTATTCATGACATAATTGGAACTATTGCAGATAATTCTGTCTAGGTTACAATGGAAATTGATATGAGTTTAACAGAAATACCTTAGTTTCTTCTTCTTACGAATAACTTTATCTGACGAAACAGGCGAAATATTCGAGTTTATAAATGAATGAAATGTCTGTATTAACGGRTGTTAATAATCTATCAATATTCCTTGTAGAGAAACGAAAACTTCGTATCCAAAAAAATGAATTTTAGAATAATTTATGTTTAAGGATGTTTTGTTGACATTGTGTCAATCTTCTAGCAAATCATTTGTCTSCTGCACGTGTCAAGGAGAAAACTAGAACCTTCCAATCTACTGAACCGGGTCAATCATGAATCCTGAATTGAACACAATATTCCATGTTTATCATTCAATAAAATCTTAACTTGATAATGCCATATTGAAACCTCAAAAGAGCTTTGTTTGACTAATCATATCTGTACATTAGAATAAAATAAAAGTCGGAAAATGGGTTGAACCAGAGAAAGTKTTTTAGATCGTTGTAATTGTTTCAAGTAATGACCTCTGTAACGTTAGGATTTGATCACATTTGATATACTTTTTTTGTTTCAGTTTAAGAAGCCGTAATAGAAATGTATTACAGGCCRCGGAAATTGATGACTTCTTCAGCGAAGAAATAGCGGAAAAGAAGAATGAAACGGGAAAAAAAGTCCAGTTAGCCTCATTTGAAATAGGGATTTTCAAACCTGAAGAGATCCAGTGGGAAATAAAAGAAAATCAAGTTTTCATACGAGGACAGAAGAAACTATCKACAAATAGAAACATCGTMCATGGTAGTCGATTTGAGCGTTGCATATCAATTCCCACAGACATTTCAGCGGAAACTGTGACAGCAAAGTTCTCTACCCGTGACGGCGTGCTCATTATTGAAGGCTGTAAAAAGAAAACGAAATCACGAAAAATACAAAGACATGCGTTTTTCTCAGACTCTCATTTTAGCCTCTCAATCGATCTAGGTGATGAGAATCCTTGCAGTATCAACTCTACTCAAACAGACAAAACTATTGAACTGTTTTAGGCACTTGTTTCAAGTCCTTTTACGAAGTACTTGGACCCACTTATCTCCTTGAAAGTTTGACAAGATCATTTAAGGATGCAACAATTGAATGTTGTCGACGTTCAACCTAAACATTTATTACGGTTATAAGATTAAAAAACGCACGGACCTGAAAGAGTTGAGTAGGCATAGTCGTATAATTGCTGTTTATGTCTACAATAGATTAGAGTGACGCTGCGTTTTTTTGTTGTTTTTTTTTGAAATGGTTAATAGTCAATTTACCGCCATATACTATCTTCTGGGTTTAGGCACGTTACTAACTTGAACGTTATGTAATTTGTGTTTCAATGTTTAAACAACTGTCAACTGGGATCACAATGGCACGTTTTGGCTATCTTTTTACGAGTCTAAAAGGTCTAAAAGGTTTTTTATCTCGCCAGCCTGTAGTCTTATCATGGGGCTAAACTGACGGAGAGTGTATTGTATATGATTATGTGTTTATTCAAATCTACAGTTGGGGTAGTGATTGTGTCGTCCACATCCGAAGTTAAGAAGTAAAATATTAAATATACAAATCATTTGTTTGGGGTTGTTTTCTTGACGGTCATTGTATTTTTATTGAGTACATCTCGTATCCCGGATTTTGGGAATACATTTATTTCTWTTCTTATGCAAAGATAAAAACAAACAGAAAACAAAAGGACGARAAAAAAATTACCTCAAAATCATCGAAAAACAACAAAAAAGCAACGGACGACAAAAAGAAACAAACCAACGAAATTTTAGAAAATCGGGATTGGTGGAAAGCCACTATAGAAATGACCATAGAGCATAAACTCCCTAGAAATCATAAAGATACGGGACACTCTTTAACTGCTTATTCTTCACTCACCACATGTATWATGAAAGGTTATAACTTTGAGGTTTTGTGAACGGTTTTAATGTCCGTGATGCGGTGAAATAGACGAACCCCTCCTGAAGTGGTTAATAGCCACAAATTGTGCGTGAGAAAATTTCTACGCTATTTCTTAAMACTAAAAACTTTCAAATAACCGGCCGTCGTACTCTACAGTGAAAGATAATGTCCTTGAGCATGTATTCTTTGTATTAAATCATCCTAARMGAGTACAAGTCGCCAAACGGGTCATAATTCCATTGTTCTCCTTACTGTATTATTGGAGTCTCGAGCAACCTCATCAATCATCCTTTCTGTGAGTTTATAACCTTACGCACAGTACATTTTATGTTCTAGAACAACCCATAACATGAATAGTCATGATATACAATATAAAGAGGCATCGTCGTGTGTGTGCTGAGACAGTGTTTTGACTGAAGTAGAGTAAACGAATGTCAATTTTTTTTGTTATCTTGGATAATTGCGTACACTTCCCAAGTATTACAGAAGTGACAGATGTTTGGAAGATCATCAGGATTGACAAACAACGCACAATGAAATACACTCCTTCAAATAAACAATGTGTTCAAATTATATAAAATGGAATATATTTACATAAATATGAATAAGCTTTACAATAACATTGGCTTCATAAAAACGAATTTATATTTCATAAAGGATTTGGAATTTTCTGGAATATACAGGAYTCGTGCGTTCTATCAGGTGGCGACTTCCTCGTCGTCAGACGGGGGGCCTGGGAACTTGCAGCGATTCTCCTCGGCCCAGGAAAACTTCCTCGCTCTTGCTTGAATTTCGTTCCATCTTTTAGGAGCTAGAATGGATATGTATAAAAGTTTAATGATTGATGAAAAGACTTCAGCCAAAGATAAGATACCGATGAGATCATACTGCTTTTAACTCTCGATATAGCTAGAGTTAACTGACGCGGTACCGATTGCTTTCGATGCCCCACTAGATCCCAAGGGTAATAGCCATCTGGCAAACACCACGGTCGCAGCCTGACTTTGACACATACAGAAAATATCGGTCTTTTTGAGATGATTTTGAATATCTGTTTTCATTTCATTCGGTTTTAATTAAGAAGGTTAACCATAAGAATGAATTTTTCACTTCAAAACCGAAGCGCAACGCTCCACTAAAGGCAACTCCGGCGGAAASAGACTTTTTGTCCTGATAATCTTGACGGCGAGAAGAACTGTCGAGAAGATTAGGGAACAACGACCTACCCCTCTCCCACTCCGGCAGCTTTTTTGACTTAACACAGGAATCCGTTTCCACGGAGTAGCGTTGTCTGCGGAGGAAGCTTACTATTTTCCCTGGTGTTGGCATATGCGAAGAGGCGCCCATGGAAGAGGGGCCATAAAAAAATCCATTCTTAATATGAAATGATAATTGAATACTCACTCAATCCTGATCGATTAGGAAGACTTGTTTTATGTCCCTGAAATAGCATAAAAAAATTGGGCCAATTACTAACATCATTTCTGGCTAGAGTGGTTTTCATAAACCCGTGAAACAAAGTGTAATAGTCGCGCAGAGACAATAGCGATAAATACGCGTGTGTTTCACGGGTTAATGAAAACCACTCTATCAACCAATTCTTCGTTTTCAGGTTACGTCACAGCGGCCATGTTGGAGGAACTTTAACAAAGGATTTCTCATTAGTATCTATTGTTAATTCCTCCAACATGGCCGCCGGTCTTTTATCATTTGAATCTCATGGGAATGGGTGAAAACGAACAATGGGTACCACATTTTAAAATATAATGTGGATAAACTCTGTTTTGAAGCAAAGTTTCTTTTATATTAAAAAATTGTTCAATCATAAGCACTCAAAACAATAGCCAAAAGATGTTTGTAATCTGCTATGTCCCCCACATATAATTGCTATTAATATTGAAGCCTAAGGAAAGCTTTCATGAAGTCGGAATCAGATATCAAATAAAATATTAAAAAATGCGCTATTTTTTAAATTATGACAGATTTTGATGTTTTGACCAATGAGATGGGTGTTGCCGTTTGCTTCCCTACTTCTTACTCGGACCATTACTTAACAAATATATTTTTTTTGTTACTTACATCCTGGCAATCCTGCGCTGAGCACAGGTACGATAGAGCTTGATCCATTGCTGAAAGAATACAACACAGTTAACATCAAAGAATGACAGGCTTCAAGATACGAATAGTTGAACTTACTTCTGAGATTAAACTCAACTCGTCGTAGATTTCTAAAAACTCCTGCAATCTCCTATAAACAATCGTACAACATGTGTGAATACAGACACCAAWATTGTTAATATGTGTAAAAGTTAGTAATCAAACAAGAAAAAATAAGAAACACTGGATGAATGTTACCGCATGAGAACTTTTCCATTCCGGTATTTTGCTGTCTTGTCTGGCGCCAGAATATCCTTTGTCCGACAAGCGCTCCGTGTCTTTGGAATAACTTGTCTCGTAGAGATTTCTAAACAGTTATTGAATAAATATAAGTATTTGTTATTTTCACAACTATTTGGATAAACTCTGAAAGGATTCAAACGCAGTGTGATCGATGCAGTAACGAGCAATTATGTGAAGCATTATACCTGGCTTTGGATAAGACCAGCTCTGAAGCAAGTCGAAGCTCTACCGTGAATGCATGAACAGATGAAAGCATCAGGTCTTCAACAGGCTGAAAAAAAAAACAATGAGAACATATGAGTTCGAAGCTGGCACAGCCTCCTTAGTGGGATTTTGCGTTAGCCTCGTCAAATTACTCTGAGATAGGCTAACTGAAAACTGGGGGTAATGAATAAATGAACGAATGAACAAACGAAATATTAAGTGAACAAATGAGCATTTAAGAAACAATGAGGGTGAATAAAACCCGTACAAAGATCAACTAAAGGGAACTCTTACGGTAGCATTATGCGTAAACGTTACCTTTTCCGTAATATCCCACTGCCGCCTTGCGTGAGGAGGCGCGGAACTRCAATTCAGTCTCTCCTGAATAAGATTCCGAGCAGTTGAACGTGGTGTTGAGGGAGGAGAGGGTGAAGATGCTGGTGGAACCGAGGCGAAGGACTCGGGAGATGTACTYCGTCCATTGTTTGATAGTGACGTCACCCAGTCATTGGAATGAGGCTGCCTGGTTAGTGGTCTATAAGCTTGTAAAGAATCGTTTCGTTTTCTTGTGTTTTCATCATTACCGAATGATAAATGTAAAGTTTCCAGGGTATCTTCCATCGATGAGATCCATTTGTGATTACTTGTCGATGAATCTGGAGTCTTATCGACGTCACTCGTCGATGAAACACTTTGGTCGTCATTTTTATCATCTATGGAGACAAATGGGATTAGTTGTCAGGCTCTCAGGCTTAGTCTATCAGCTAGAGAAAGCCATTAATAGATTATACAATGTGTGCATGTACTTGTTTGACTAACCTAATACAAAGGTTCTGTTATTAGAGTCATTCCTKTTCATCTGTAAGTCTTCAGGTAAAGAATACGWSTCAGGCGTTCCTGCCTGGAATATGGCATCAACAGCAGCTTGCGCGCCATCACCCATTGAACTACTAGAAACACTAGAACTAACGCCCGACTCTGCACTTATTGAGCTATTTTCCTGTGAATAAGACTTGGTAGGACCCTTGCCACTTGGACTCCATATCCTTAACGATGAAGGRTCGGTTGACTTGTTGTCCTTGGAGGGAGTGGACCGCCTGTGTCTTGGTTTTGATGTAATACGTGATCGAAGGGGTGAAGAGCGCCGAGCCGACGTCTTGATAGCTTCWCGACTRTTTCTTGCTCTTARYAATGCTGTCTTATTTACACGYGGTAGACTTGACGATCGACTCCCTTTATCGGTAACATCGGCCGAGTACACTTCACTTGGCGAAAGCGATTTTGATTTTTCAGTTTTACGTTTGCCATCCTTGTCATCATTTGGTGGRTTCCCTGTGCGCTCACYATCGCTATCATCTGATGTACTTGTTACAGGAGTTTGTTCAGATCCTCTYGACTCGCTGTCRCTAGGAATRGAAGATCCACCTGATGAAGAAGCCCGGTTAAGACTACGAGACGGTCTTGATGGAGAATCCTTTGATGCGCTGGAATTCCTTCTCAATGGTGGTCGAGACTTCTCCTGTATGACGAAATACACATGATGCACGATGTTTCAGTACACTGTCGTACACTAGTAATGACTACAACAATAAAGGCCAAACCTGGTGGTTCTTCACAGTACACGTTTGCATAAATGGGATAAAGACGACATGTACTATCAGGCCCGTACGCTGGCGTGGGGGGGGGGGGGGGGGGGGTTGTCTGCTTTATACATTCACTTATAAACACTCTCGTGCAACCTTCACATAAACTGATACGATGGTGATGATGCCAGATGATAATGATCACAGCGATGACTAATGAAATTTTTGTGATAATGGTAAACTGTATTTGTTGCTTACATTGCGTGGAGTGGTTGATTTTGACCCGTTGTTTTTGATTTTTACTGTCGGTTGATGTTTAGGTTTACCAGCCTTGACTCCTGACGAAAACAAATTAACATTACTTCATGTGTAAAAGACATACGATGAAAGTCAATCAACGATGCATTTAATGCTATACAGGCCTTTTCTCTGTCTATTATTTCATTGTGCTCTGCTCTAGTAAATTAATTGGTTCTTTTTCTTACCTTTAGGAGCGTTTGATATTGGACTTTTTACTTCAGTCAGACCAAAAACCCCTCCACGATGATGGTAATCAAAGTCACTGTTTTCACTCAAGGAACTTGATGGACTTGACTCTATTGAAGTAAAACAATACCTTGTAGATTAGTATGTAATYTCTCTRGCTGGCAATCRTCCTTTTTATGCATGCCAGGAAAGAGTGACAAACGWYTATCCTTAAGGTGTGTATTGGTTCTAAAATCAAGTCAGTTTTCAGGGGTTYTTAGCAGTAACATTYTTCAATCTTTTTKAAGGTTTATATTGASCCAGCCATCAACATAACAACCTATTATCCAATCATAAGTGTAGCWTGCAATCAAGTCTGATCATCCAGTCATGGAGCCTTCCTCATGGCTCTTATACTCTTGTCATACTCATAAAAACTCCACCTGCACACCRAGRCAACTGTTACTGAATGTGCTTGTTGAGTKTAAACTAACATTGAAAGGACACTCCAAATACTCACCTAATTGAGCTACTTTTTTATGTGTTTTTCTGCTTTTCTCACTRACAGGTTTCTCAGGTAACTCTCCAAAGTCAGGTACAATAGGAATAAAGGACAAGGAATCCTTGGAATAGTAGCTATCGTTATCTAATGAATCCTCCTCCAGACCTTCCACATAGCTGCCATGTGGGACACTTTCCCATGCACCAAACACTGGGATATTATAGATGTTGGAGAACTCTTGAACATTCCTTGTTGTCAATATTGGAGCAGTGGGAGTTGTTGATGTTCTAGCTGTTTTGACAGTTGCAGGTTTTTTCAGTGAAGTATGATGTTGTTCTATGTTTGTTTTGTTTCGTTTGATTCTTTGCTGTAGTACTGTACATTGTGTTGTTGTTCCTGATGGGCTTACAACTGTGGCACAGTTTGGRTAGGTATAAATTTCTTCATCTGAGGATCCCCATCCCCACCATGAAGGCTGTCCATACAGTGTACTCCCAGCTGCATCTGATCTACTGAAATTGTCAATGAAATTATTATTTTTATCAGTGTGTCAGCATGGTCAACTATTCAAAGCCATGATTGTCAGAGTTTCAAATCTCACAACGTCCACATGTTGATTTTAATCACTACCATAGTTATTAACCATGTCACTATTGAGTTCTTACTGACAGTTTGGCTACTTCAATATTCTTAAGTTAATAATTTTATTCAGTACCTTTCCTTTAMATGATCACCAGTCTTTGGCATAACACCCTGACACATCTTTGTCTCTTCTACATGATGATCTTTACAGCCCTTGTAGCACTGTTAAATGATAATAAAGAACATGTGTTATACCAGCTGAAGAAGATGACTTAAATGGTGTTGAAAGGTCGTCGAACACAGATATCAGTGAGTCCAACAACTCGATAAGAGAACAAAATAATGATAAGAACATTCTTGATTGTTTTTGCTATTACTGCACTGTTGAATCATTATTGTATAAAATGCTGGGAACTAGCGATAAACTCGTGTGAGCTGAGTCGGTGTTTCTAAAGAAACAGTTGTGTAAAAAGATAAATTAAWCACCGTAAAAAGTAGGAGAAGTAACTTACTGACGTTTCRGACGTTAATCCTTCRTCGGAGTAATCCTTCCTCTGACGAAGGATTAATGTCCGAAACGTCAGTAAGTTACTTCTCCTACYTTTTTACGGTGTTTAATTTATCTTTTTACACAACCATTATTGTTATAWAGAATGATTAACCAACACATAAAGGATGTCACAGTATTAAATTTACATTTCTGTAGGAAAATATTCTTCATTTTAAGGTTACGTCACAGTGGCCATGTYGGAGGAACTTTAACAAAAGATTTCTCATTAGTATCTATTGTTCATTCTTCCAACATGGCCGCCAGTCTTTTATCTCTTGAATCGTATGGGAATGGTTGAAAACGATCAATTGTAAAATAATATTTTAATACTTACAGTATTATGGTTATGATTTTCATCGAACAAAGCAATTTTATTGTCATCATGTGGGTACAAATCAATACGATAAATATTCACATGTAAATAAACCATTAAGGAAAAACAATACATAAYGGCAATATATTATTTTTATATTATATCATTCATACAATATGTACATATAATGCAAGGATGAAGTTCAAATATCAACACCTATAATAATAGTCAACTTTATGATCATCAATCAAACATTGCTTCTTATAATCGAATATTAACAGGAACTAAAAGTGTTGATATTGTTTTGAGGCATTTTGAATTTGATAGAGTTAATGGGACAGTTTTCTTGATGTAAAGAGTTGAGTAATTTATATTCATCAACCATATGGAACCCCTTAAAAAGCTGCAGTTATGCAGTCATTATACAGTCCAAACTATGTATTTACAGTTTTACCAAGTTATTTAGAAAGTTTATATGATTTAAACTAGCAACCCAGAAACAAACTTGTTTTAGTTAATAATCTAGGTGTAAATCCTTACCAAAATAAGACTCCTTGTCTCCTCAGGTTGCACTAGAAAGCTAACTATCCTCTTATCCTGGTCCTTGATTATAGTTAGAGAGTCTTTAATTGATGGTATAACCATCTGGTTCAAAGAGATCTCCCCACAAACAACAACCATAACTTTCCTTTTAGTGAACTGATCCCCAGTAGAAAAYCGTAGTAAGTCAGCAAATGACTTATCTTGCTCTATTGCTATCCATTTTGGTGTAATAATGACCTCTAAACCACAACAWACCCTTACACARAATARCAACATGCTGGGATCAGGGTATTAAACAAATTGTAGGGCTTTTTTCATGAAGAAAACTGCCTTTTGATGTTGAAATTAGTTGATTGACCATATGTTTGGCAGGTGGTAGGTTGTGTTCAAAGCAAAAGTGTAGAGATAAGAAATATGAACAGGTATTTGAGCACCTAAGAACCTTAAAGTTTCAATGGCATTTTAAAAAGTCCAACATTTTAATCACTATCAATCTACCAACAATGYTTCTTTAAAAATCTGCTTTTTCTTTGAGTTTTGATGCAAGGGTTTATGAAAAAATCYATAAAACTAGATTTTCTACAGTGATGAAAACACAAAAAACAAACAAAGAAAATAAACAAAACAAATAGTAAATCAAAGATCTCTTTGGAATTTGTATTTCTTTGGGATAAAAAGCAACTTGAGAAAGTAATTATTTGGACACTGCACAAAGATGCTATAAGTGTGTTGTAAATCTTGAAAGCAGTTGCCATCAAGTAACACCYTTTAGTCAAACTTGATGTCTTCCACACAGCATGTTATCAATAATTCATGATGWCTTAGGTAAATCCATCTACCTGCCAATGTAACTAGTAGCTCACCCAAGACCTGCTTCCAAAGACATGTACTGCAGTCCTAGACATATTGACAAGCCAGTTAACTGCACACAATTTTATAGCTGATTGCACTAGTGACTTTTATGACTGAAAATCCATTTCCATTTTGTAATCCCACTGAGTTTGTGATGTAAACAAAACTTTGAAAAAAAATTAGATGTGTTTGTTGGCAATGTTGGCTAGGAATTAACTTTTTTCACAACTACTATTATTTATTTACTTATTTACTGCAAAGGTGCAAAGGATATCATATCCAAACCGAACTGTATCACCTAATCCTAGTTTGGACTTCTGTACTCTCCTATCGTTGACAAATGTCTGTAAAATGAAATAAAATTCACTCATTTTTCATAACTAAATAAAACCCAAAAACATCTTTCTCTGACACATCTGAATACGCAAAATAAGGGRGGAAAGAAATAGCTTTCGTTTTCCGTCCAGAAAATACACACTATATAGAGAAACATATTTTTGTGTTAATTGAATTATCACCTATTCAATAGGAAATGAGAAACCATTCAAATGTATGCAACACATCCTCGAAATTTATTTGAATTTAATGTCCGTACAATTCGTGATTTCTTTTTTGCAGACAATATTCATCCTTTTAAATCTCTAAAACAGKAATCATACCCCATTAAGAGAATCCAAATCGTGAATGTAGTGAAGTTCTTGTCCTTGCTGTATGGTGATGACAGCATGCTTKTTGTCAACACTTCTTGACTAAATAAGATATGGAGTTTCACTCGATTAGTGTATTGCAAATRATTTGATTTAAATGAATGGACTATAGTAAGCTTAATTTCTGTTAGATTTGCAATTTCTTCATAGCCTACAAAGTTGATGACGTGACGTTGTAATGTATTCGCAAGGTGCTAAAACCTGCGGCAAACGATTCAAAATGGATACAATCACTAATATTTCTCATTCGTGTCGTTTAAACTTGGAGAAACTTGTCCATCTTACCTTGAGTGTTAAGTCCACATCGCCGTTTCTCCCMACAAAGAAGCTAGGTTCTCTAAGCTTGTAATAAGTTCCCTCCGGACTCAACAAAGCCCAAGGAACCCTGCGTCCATCGCCGTACGCAGTCATCCAGCTAGCAGCATTTGGACGTTGAATWTTGTAAAGAACTCCGAGGCAATGGCTAAAAAACGCCTGCCGTAAAACTTCAAAATAGATACTTAGACTTCTTCGTGTTCTGGTAAAAATTGCAATTTCAAATCAGAGCAAAACATGATTTTACACCTTGCACGTTTTACCGAAGTTATGGTTGGCTGGGCGACATCATCTCCGAAAATATTACACAGGGAGCCCACAAAAAGTAAATATAGTTCTTCCGAATTTATTTTTGTTTGTACGACATTACTCATTACTGATAAAAATACATTCCAATTTTCATTCCCCTTAATTATAGTTATTAAAACTGCATYTTTTTACCCAAAATTGGAAAAAAATAGAATTGAAAGTACTTTGTGCTTTCTTGTTTGTTGTTTTGTTTTTAGTTTATATCTCTTTTGAGAATAAGAAATGTGCTTATTGTTCAAATCTGTTCTCTATCTGGAGATGCCAAATTACTATCTAGAAGGCCTTTACTGTGTACAGAGTTTGAAATATAACACCAAATATGTGATTGTCAAATYCAAAGAGACACCTTTGCTAGCTACCAGTCTTCTTGYTTTTGTTTGCCATACATTCTTGAAAGTCTTTCATCTGTTTCTGACATTTTCTCCAGTCTCCAGTCTCAATATAACAGTCCTGAAGGAATAATATGTTAGAACCAGTTTCATCGCACAAACCACAGAGCTATCAAGGTCACCTGCTCGGCAGTAACCCTCCCAGATCACAATCACTAATTTGTATATTAAAGAATAATAGGGCTTTGTATCATTGGAACTGAGACCAAAGGGAAATTTTTTTATCACATTTTCAGAAATGTAAGCTACATTTGTCCAGACATGCACATTATCCAATATCAGCATTTTGCTGCCATGATTGCTCTCAGTATGCACAATTGCACTACTAATCATTTGCCTTTCCATACTCCCTTATGGCCTTAGCTTTGATGATGCCATCATCATCTTGATGATGCCATCATCATCAATATGGCACTACTGAATTTTTGGACACTCCTGAAGATATTAGTACAGTTTCATTCAACATGTATTGTCTACAGCCTTTCTGAATCCAAATACAGCAATAACCCACCAGTTCAATAAAGAGATATCAACAAACAAATAGTTAGAGCTGCATTACCTGAAGTGCATAGTGGAAATCTGCACATCCAGTATTTTTAATCCTCAAATCATATGGGTCTTCTTCTTCYTCCTCTTCTTTCGYSTCTGTCTTTCCAGTTGTTTTGGAGCCTTTCCTGCCATGGTGRAGCGCCATTTTTGAATATGAAAACCGAGTAGGACGGGGCACCAACGAGACCATAGTGTGAGTAATACATGACGTATTTCCCTTAAACCATAATGGCGTCTGGTTTGCAATGTTTTGGTTGTGGAGTTCAATTTGGATTGTTCAAAAGAGAGGTAAAGCGATACTTTATCATGCCATTTTTGTGTAACTRAGATAGCATGAATAGTATGTGACTATATTGGCTTCATGAATGATATTTGTTTTTTATGTGGAGAAAAAAATCCATATTTTTTGATGAGCATGTAAGCTTATGCATTGACTTTGAATGCAATTCTCGTTGTTTTGTGAGTAAATCTTACAATAATAGATATTTTTCAATCATTTTTCAAATATATATGAAGTTTGCAAGATAACTGTTACATAGATCACCTTATTACTATATAAGCTTACGGCTGTTCAGCTGTCATTTTTTACTTTAAACTGTCATCCTTTTATGCAGCATTCTTGCAAAAATTGTGGCCATATATTCTGCAGCACTTGTACATCACAGTCTATAGTTATACCAAAGCATGGAACAAGCAAACACAAAGTATGTTTTAAGTGCTATAAAATACTAACAAGGTATGTAAGCTTATAAATACAGTGAATTGTGGGTTTCCTGTTTCTACCAATAAACCCAATTTCTCCCATCTGTGATTAATGCCAAAAAGAGTCTTTGCATAATTTCCAATTATTTTTATTGCTTTCCAAGTATTAATATGAAAATCCACTTGAAAATTAATAAGTGACATTTTTTAATTGTCAGTCCACCTGRTACAGAACACAAAAGAAAGCAAAATGATTTGAACAAATTTCCAGAGCCAAGAATAGTCACTCAACCAAATMAAACAGYACAGAACATACCAGTCAGTAKTCAAGGTGCAGAAAAAGGATCATTAGATCCAGATGAAAGAATTCGACAAAGACTACAACAGCTCAAACAGRACAAAGGTAACTTGAATATTAGTTCTTGTACCGAAATACAGGGAAAGTGAATGGATAAATGGAAGAATCAATGAGAGTGAATGGATGAAAAATATAAAAACATGCATACAAGTTCCCATTTAAATCTGAACTTGTGCAAATTTAGGGTGGTTTATACTATCCCACAGATCAGCTAATCAAAGTGATTATTTCAGAGATTACATCTAACCTCTGAAATAATCATAACTTGTGTGATTGGTTGATACGTGAGATGGAACGCATTATTACGCCATATTTGCATCGTACAGATTTAAGTGAGAACCTGTTGTAATTAAATGAATAGACATTTTTGCACATGACAGATAGTCCAACYGGTGTCACAGATGAAGAGATTGGAAGACGATTTGAAAACCTTGCAGGTAGAAAACCTGTCAGTCAGCAGAAAAAYAATGTAAGCAAAGACAAAATATCTACACTTTTATTAATAAATAATTTCAATAATAATTTTTCTTCTGCAAACAGATTAATATGTTTGTACCCAAAAAGACAGAACAAGAAGAAATATCAGATTTACTCAATCAAGTGACTGACGAATGTAGACTGGATAATGACATTAATGATCATARTGGCTCTAGGGTATTTACATTGGATGTATTTTTACAATTATGTTGATGAATACAATTGTAAATAAATTCATTCATTTGATTAATCAGCAGAATGATGGAGAGTCATCAAATGCAAGTAATGACACTGTAAAAACTGATGAAGTACAAGCACTCATCCAGAAAACAATGGAAGAATGCAAAAATGAAAAATCTTCCGAAAATGAGATAGAAAACAGATTGGCAAACCTTAAAGGCATTGATCCAAGTAAGCAGGCTTCACAAAATATATCACAGGCATATCTCTTTTGAATTCTCCCTTGTGCTTTACCCATATTACAACAACAGATTTCATAGTAGTTTTAGTTGGACTGTGTTGTTGCCATGTTCCCTATTAAACATTCAAAATTGTTGCAGCGAATCCCAACCTGTTTCCCCCTCTTATAAAATCTACTCTAAACTGAAGTTTCACAGCTATCATATTCTCATTGCTGCACTTAATGTACTAGAATAATTTAATAGAATATTTGTATATAATTATAATATCAAAATCAATGGGTTCCTAGGTGTATACAGAAACCCTGTTCCACATGATATTGACAGTGACGATGAAGAAACTTATAATGCAAGATATCTACAACAGGTTTGTTTTCATGTTCAATAATTAGCATGCCAGGTCACAACTATCCATGTGGTCCAAACAGTTCAGTTGTAGCAGTGGTCATTCTAAATATTGCGCTTTTTTTATGCAATCTAATTCTGAGGAAAATACACTTCTATTTATTTTATTAGGTGTTAGGGGAAGCTTTACTTGATGATAAGACWAAAGCAATGGGATATGGTAAGTCAAGATTATTTTATACAAAGACTGTAAAGTACAGTAAAAAGTGATAAGAATGAGTTTGTGTTTTCTTAAAAAAATTGGGGTGGCTGAGATAATTAAGGAAAAAAGTTTAAAAAGTGTCTGCAGCCCCTCTCCATACATGTAGTGCATGATTCCTGTTATCACATAAATTGCTTTCTTTGTSTAGATTTAACAGGAAAGAAACCAAAACCCAACAGCAGCCAGAAACCTCAAAGCAGTAAAGGAAATTCAAATGTAAGTATGAAATAACATCTCTTTTTTGATTCTTGCTGCAATTGTACTAAGACAACAAATGATATCAGTTCAAATTTTAACCTGTTGCTATATTTTTGTTGCCTTTGTAGCAGGAAACTGTTGATGCTGCACCTAATAACAAACCATCTAGTATATTCAGTAAAGAGTATGAAGCAGATAGTGATGATGACGAGTTGCCATGGTGTTGTATATGCAATGCTAATGCTGTACTACGTTGTCATGGATGTGACGATGACCTGTACTGTAAAAGATGCTTTAGGTAGGTTGTCATTATAATTGAGATGTTTTCTCTTCTTTTATTATATTGAAACTCTTATCCAAGTACTATATACAGGGTTCATGCTATATTTTCACTACAAAATTTTAGGACTTTTCAAGTACTTTTTAAGCACAAAAATGCCACTTTCAACGACTATTTTCGAAGACATTTTGTTCAAGGAGTAGCACGAACCCTGTATATACATCTGGGTTAGCTTGTAGGGTAGATAAATTTATCCATGGATTATCCATTGCCTTTGAATTTTAATGAATAAGAAATTATCTGTTGGATAGTGCTATTCACCCTTCATGCAACCAGCCACTGTTGTAAATATAAATCTTATCAGATTAATGTTATTTAATCCAGAGCATAGCATTACAATTCAAAAATGGAAGTGTGACTCAAAATTTACTAGAGCGCACGCCATATAAGTGTGAAACAATTCTTAACTAATTAGCGGCCTAATAAGATTTAGTTATCAACTAAGAATTTAGTGAGGCAAAATCAAAGACAATTTCCTTTTTGGCATTATGTTCATGCCCCAGTGAATTCTTAGTTGATAACTAAATCTTATTTAGTTGTTGATTGTTAAGAATTGTTTCACACTTTTTTGGCGTGCACTCTATAAGACGTGTTGCATTCTGGCAAATAAAACTATTTTTATTGTTTCAGAGAGGGACACAGAGATGAAGATCCCGAAGACCATACGGCGTCTGCATACAGACCGAAAAAGAAACATTCATGATATCAAAGAACACAAACAAATTGACATTTCACTGATCAAGACAGTAAAAATAACATTTCACTATTTAATAGTCTCTCGAGAAATAATATCTGATATAGTGGCCAAAATGGAAAGATATTTAAATATCAACTATTCAAAGATAAGGATAAAATATATCAATAAATTGTAATATAGTGATTTCATAAACCCATGCTATTACACTTTTATTCTTGTTTGTCATTAAGTCTGTGTACACAGTTACTTTTCACCTATTCCAGGCAGCATTTTACTCTCATTTGAAGTAGAAAACAGTACTTATGTTCACWAAGTACTCAAATATTGGTTATGACAACACCGTAAAGAGATGCAAAAGAGTCTTTAGTTACTGATAAGATCATGACATTATCCCTTCGATAAATAAATGAACACTGCTCTATCATCTTTATCATGTCACTAACTCATTCRTAGAGCCTCCAAACTCCACAATGTATATTATATTCAGGTATGCTTGAGCATTTAGATTTTGTTTCAAAAGTTTTGCTTATTGACGCTTAAAATCAATATATTTTGTCTTTGTGTTTTGGTATAACTGAAAAAAAAATTCAGAACACGTGATACTCATCAAATAAACAAATCAATGACTTTTCTTTTTTTCATCGGGATCTAAATCCGGTGCGGAATAACCTACAATAGGTGGAGTCTCAGTAGGTCCTGTAAACTGCAAAGGGAAAAGTGTTTGGTCAATTTTGATGGCTTCAAGATACAAGTACATTGAACTTTTCTTGAGTTCCTTCAAAGCGTCTTCTCTTGACCTAGTCATTTCTTGTATACGATGTAAATCTTCCTTGTGTTGCTTCATYTTATATCTTGACCATTCTTTYTGAAGCAAAATTCTTCTCTCCTCTTCAGCTTCGTCAAGCTTTTTGACAWTTCGTCGGCGGGCTGGTTCAAGAAGTTCTGTACTTGTTACCGCGTCTGGGTCGATTGGAGGAACGATTTCACTAGGCTTGCGTATAATGATCGGTGGTGCCTTTTTCTTCTTGGAAACGTCTTTAGATTGTTTGGATTTCTTTTTCACATTTGGTGCATGTCTCAAAGGAATACTCTGTCGTACAGACAGAGCAGTCGTTCGGGAAAACAGAGACATACTAATCTTTGTGTAGGACGCCATCTTGAATTACATAAGTTCCCTACTGACACATCTTTAAAATATCGCTGGCTCAAAAAATCATTTTGCCTGGTATATTGGGCTTCCTGTGTATTTTTTTCGGGGTTGGGGCACCTTTTGGCAGGGATGCAGGRCAACTATAATTTTTCACACTCTCTTTACATTGATACAAATCTCGTGCTTTTAGTAATGCATGTAGATTTGTGAAAAATCCAAATATGAATTTTGAAGTTTCTAGAAATTTCACAAGATCAGCGGCAGCAACGAAGCAAGAATTTATCTTGAGTTTAATGGCATAGAAAATGGGATTCAAAATACCGACTGAATCAGGCATTCAACATGTGATAAGGGCGAGGCTTTCAGAGATCATTATAGTGAAATAAACAAGAAACTATATCTATTATGTAATGCAGCGAAGATGGGATTTCAAAGTCTGCGCACAGAGGCGCAGAAATCGATCAAAGTTTGAATAGTCCTTGGACTTTGTAAAAAAAATCAAAGATTTCTGCAGTTGACTTCAAGGTACGGCACGTGGTACAAATCTCTTCTTACCTTGTGAATAATTAATGAGTTTGAGGGAAAAAATGATCTGGATTCATTTAATTTGCTCTTCAATACTTTACATTACGTAATGAAGATTAAACTCAGTAGTAGCTAGTATAATCGACGATAGAGTTTCATGATACAAGCGTAAACAACTCTCTTTGTTTTTGAGTACAGGCTGATGCCGACTCGCTTTGTTTGGTAGAGTGCAGTTGTTTCCTCGGGGTCCGCCCATGATGCTAGAAACATCCGTCGTCGAACAAACGTTTTTCTTAGAAGTTGCTTCTGAATCGAGTACGTGCGYGTTAATTTTCAATCAAGGAAAATCCAAGATTGATTAATAATAATTCCGCCAAAGCAAAAAAAACCGGAAAGATATATATTTAAATATTGAAGTAATTACAACATGATATGTGCGGTGAATAGATACAGATACTAGTTCTTAGTGTTCCTGGTTCTATTCCTAGGAATGAGCACGAAGAAGCTGTTTTTCTCGTCAAGGACAAGCCAATATGGACAGTTCTTGCCCATACACATTACCCATCTTGACAGGAAACCACACMATCGACACTCTATGGCCTCCTTGATCTGWGGATGAGCTTCAGCAMGGGAGTATCAGCCTCTTTTAAATGATGTCTAGGCAAAACTGACCCTTTACTATGAAACACATGTGACCATATAACATGKGTGAATGCTTAAATAATAGCTTTGTCAATTTGTGAGTTAAAGTGTGCATTAAATCTACGAAAAAAACTTCGCAGTATGTGTTCTTGCGCGTATTTCATAGAGAAAAACAACAATTGAACTTGAGTTTTTAATAAAAAACAATTGAAATTTGAATTTGTTGTTTATACTACCGGTTTCACTCTCATGAACCAAGGTAATCCAACGTTTTGACGAATGCAACCAGACGAAACAAAGCCTTCTCTCAATGTTTGCATAAAGATTAGCGAACATTTCTTGTATTCAGGCCGAAAGATCTTTAACTACACGTTAATCCACGTCAACTAGAAACATTGTAATTATGTACTTCAGTGCATGGACCATAAAAGTATTCCAAGTATGAAAAACCTATCTGAAAAAAAGTCAGATCTTTCGCACGTACAACTGTGATTTGCAATCCAAGTGATTGCAATGTCTGTTAAATACTCTATATACGTTGTACTACAAGCTATCTGAAGCTATACATAGCTATTGTAGCTAAGTGATTTGCTTTATTGCCCACCCACACCCTATTGTGTTTATAATCTGATATAAAAATGTCAAGGGGCTCCCGGGAATGCAACTATTTTGAACGCTGCTAGATAACCAAACTCTAATCTTTAAAAAACAAGATTTTACTAAGAAAAAACATATGGTTTAGTTGCATTTCAAAATTTATTAATATGATTTCATTCTAATATAYAACATGATACATCAAAATCGATTTCATTTCACTAAACCTAACATCACCATTAACTGTGTTGTTTAGCGATAAGATAAAACGATCAACTGAACCAATTGTTCTATTTTTGAAAGAATTTCAGCAAAGTAAACTATCACAATTCCAACAACTGGATAAAGTCCTAATACTGAGTTAATATTTACAGAACAAAGATGTGTTGATAAAAGGGTTGGCAGTTGATCAACATTATGTCTAGAAGTACATACCTTGGAATGACCTTTGATTTTTCTATTACACAATTACTGATAAAAATAAATGAATCTTGACTTCTTAAAAATTAAATTATTCATAGAATATCTGATGTTTTAAGTCAATCTAGGACATTGCCAGTAATGTATGTTGCAGGTGGCAGACCCTGTTCTTTTCACTGTTGACTTTCCTCYACATTGGCATTKATACTGCACAACTTGCGCACGMTTATATCGAACCAAGTTGCTCTCCAAAGCGCCTTCAGTTGAGCATGTTGCACTGATAATTAACCATCCCTTTGGCTCAWWTACAAAGACATCGTGACCTGAACCTGCAGAGGGAGCGAATTTGGTCTGGCCCATTTTATACACACAAGCTGAAATGTTACCACTTCCCGGCTTTCCGTCTTTTCCCGGAGGTCCGGGTAATCCTTTTGGACCTTGCGGACCGCGAGSGCCACGTAGTTTAGTCATGTTGTACTTTGCATTTCTGATAACTAATGTTGTCGGTTTGTGAGAGAGCTCGACGAGCCTTTGACCATGTRCTTTTTCTTTTTCTAATAGTTCTTTTATGACTCTTTCTCTCTGGTGAACAATTCTATTTAACGATGTTAGGTTCACTTGTAGTTCTCTTATCATTTTCAGCATTCTTTCTGTATGGGCGTTCATCGTACTGGCGCCTGATACCGGCATATTGGGGTCAACTTCATCCAAACATTTTCCGCATTTTACAGTGACTAGATGACCAAGAATGACCAGAATTACRAGAGCCAAGGCACCAACCGCCATRATAAACGACAAAGATACCAAGAAACACATCGCATCTCGACAGCAAACTCTTCTGCCGGTYGAGTTTTCGGATCCATTGCTGTCGGYACGACAACGTTCATATAGTTCATTTGTCTTTTTTCGCGGTTTCACGGTRATCTCACTTTTACAAGGAGGTGGACCTTCTCTTATTTGACGAGCAAGAAGCCTCGGATCTTCGTACTGATGATGMTGTCCTTCWGGTGTGTACTCGCCGGATCCGCTCATTTCTTCATAAGATGAAGGACGACGCGGGTATGGATGCAGAGGATGACTTTCAGTAGGATAGTCGAATTCGTCAGTACATGAGGGGCTRTGCAGTCGGCCATTGGGATATCCCGTTAGTCCAGTCCTTGARCCAACGCTCGACATGTTGGCTATTGTTCAGTTTCTTCTCAAAATGTTAAAATAAGAACGTAAAACTAATACTTTCAATGAATGGTTCACAGTTGAGCGAATTGCTAGTACTATTCCAATGTCATTGATAGAGACTCACAATAATGTTACAGTCTAGTGCACAAACGCTATGCTTTTGATGTGATAGCTGTCACCTACTGGTCTTCGTATATCAACTGAGAGCCTAATATACTGCGTCATGGCAGCAGGAAATAGAAATACAATACACCATGCATTCCTGCACTCCATATATGMGACAGCTTTGTTTACTTTCCCGCGTAAAACKCACGCGTGATCAATCAAGCAATCGCGCAACACAACGTGTTTCACCGCACAATCCATTTTWCACAAKCATTGGGTATCTACTACTTCCTTTTGTCTTGTTTCTTTGTTTATTCCTGTGTATTAGTTTTACTGCAAGTTTATTAGTGGTAAATCCGTTTTAATGATCACTTATTGTTCTTTTATTTGTCAGCACACCGCAAAGGTCATTGTCAACCACTAGGTTCCATTCTCCGAACTCGGCATGGTTGGCATGGTGATATTTATCTTTACTTGACTATTGTTATCAAATTATTAAGTAATTTCACGACATTTATTCACTCTTATACATCGATAAGAAAAGCTCGAGATATATGTCTTTAATCTCGATGAAAAACAAGTAAAATGAAGAGATATGGCAACAAAAGCAAGAAAACAAGCAGAAGACAGACTCGTCTAAGGACTCTCAGAACTCGTGACGAAGGATTAGCTACGATTCAAGAATCGAGTATCAAGAATGCTAGAATCAAATCAGCAATTGARAAAGGCGCWGAGTCAAAATTACCATCGGATACAGCCACAGGACATTGYCTTAAGAAGTTTGAACACAACGGAAAAGAAGGRCCCTTAGTGGTTTACGCGGAAGACAGGAAAATGTTTAATGAATACGGTCACTTCACGGTAATAACCTCCTTCAAACCTTCAGATAGTCTAAGAAACCAGTTATTTTTTGGCTCTCATGCGAGTATTCCACTTAATCTAAGCAAAGACGAGCTAGAAATACCTCAAGCGAACTCTGTAGATAACAAGTTTTGTAATTCTATACGACAAGAATCCAAAAGCAACCATCGCCAAAAGAACAATGACAATAACGTTGTTAAACAACCGCATAGGCAAATGAAGTCCTTTGAAGGATTAGTCACGCGTTATAAGAACAGACAAGATAAATACAGACGTTTATTAGGAGACGATGCAGTTTATTTATTTCAGAAAATTGACCATTTATGTAAAGCCAAAGAAGATAAAAAACCACAAAAATCAGAAAAAAATGTTCAACCAGTTTTACCCAAGATAAAGGTGGACGATAAAACTACAGTGGAAAATGAAAATAACAGGTCAAATGAAATCCAACTTTCTAGTAGAAAAACAAAGCCTAGGCTCCCTTATTTAACGGTATCTAGGTRTAGTACACTGTAAAGTCAAGGTGAGATGACAGTTTATTCTCGTGGTTTATTTCAAAGGATATCCGGCTTCACAAGAATTGCTACCGCGCTCTTTGATTCGGCGCTAAATCTCGAAATAACTTTAACGGAAACTGAAAGGGAGAACTGAAAAAAAGTAAACAAGAAAGACAACAAGGCAGACAAAAGTGAAGGGAAGACGATATATGATAAGGATAGTGCATTATGTTTTAGTTTCGTCTGACAAATTTCTGCAATTGCGAAATGAAAATATACATGTAATGTTTGAAGCAAAGTAAAAGTCGAAAACCAAAGAATGTAGCAAGATGAAACTGAACACATAATAGAGAAATAAATATTTGATTTAATGAATAATCATTTTAGTTGCTTTTTCAACTCAGTTCTAATACAAGAGTGTAAGTATTTGTAAAGGAAAATGTGAAAGAGAACAAAAGAAATGTGTGTTTAAGATGGAAAATGAAAAAGAACGATCCAACTACACAAGTACGCATCTTTAAAGCAAAGAATGTGAAGATTATGTAAAATTACTTAGACGGAGATCTCCGCCGCGGCACGTTACAAGTCCCTTACCAATTTTTGATCAAAGTATCTTTGAAAACAAAGCGCACTCTTTTTCTTTCCTCTCCAGTTACCATCAACAAAGAAGTTATAATCATAAAAATTGCTTAATTTCAAGGATTTCCGTAGTTTGATAAAAAAAACAGATGACAGAAGAAGAATGAGTTAAATAAGACTGGTCGTTGCAGAGTAATTTTTTTTAACAATTATATTTGAGTATTGACAAATAAGCTCAAGTATCGTGATGGTTTCATAAACTGACAGCCCGGTGCCGTGTTATTGCAGAATGATCTACTTTGCATATACAGAGAATTATCGTCGTAAAACTTTAGCGATTACACATGCAACGTAAACCAAGAGCGATAATCACGCAGCTGACACAGGAATCCAGCAGAGAACTGACGTGATTCATGACAAAGATTATAAAAGGAAAGAAAGTATTACTTCACACCCACTCAATTATGGCTGACTGATGATTTGTGATCAGTATCATGGATTAAAGTTATCCCGCTATCCGACAAATTCCTAAATCGTAAAATGTCGATGTGTAGCATATAGACCCCTTGCATGTGACGTCAAAACAGCTTCATCTGGAGGACAAAACAAAAGATTTTTATCCTCTTGGGAACTAGAATCTATTGTTTTGTCCTCCAGTTGGAGCTGCATTCCCATGAACTGCAAGGGGTCTATTGTTGATTTGAGGTTTGTTATGTAGTCTTGTGATAGAAAGACATGTTTTTAAGTCTCATTCCCGGGGTGTTGAAAGAAAATGGGTGCAGTCGTAAGTACGCTTTGGATTAATCCAACCTCCAGCAGTACGAAAACGCACAGCACTAACATGTCACAAATCGAGTATAAAGTTTCGTATTTCCTTAATGGTGATCAGAACAACCACGCACCAACACAGCTTGTTAACAACTAGTTTTACATCCTGATTAGAAAATGCTGACGTTGACATTGGCCGTTTGACAGGGAACGTAGAGATGACATAGATGGGCGTCCGAAGCTTTAGTTTAAAGTTTAGTATTAGCATGAGCAATAAGGACAAAGTCCACATTTGGTTGTATCTCGATGAATACCTGAGTTCAATCAATGATTTTAATAACTWTCTTGAAAAAAAAATAAATCATAAACTGAATCGTATAAAATCCACTTCTATATCTACAGACTTTTTACTATGAAATTTATAAGTCTTAGCTAAATTGAACCTTAATTCTGCCAGTACATCCATCTCAACGCCCCACTCRGCAGCTTTCTTTGCAATGTGTTTTCTTGTGGCAGTCTTGTGTAAGGAATATACAGATGTTGTACACATTGAAAGTGCTGTGTGCACAAAGGTCAAGTCAATCCCTGAAATAATACGACAACATATTATATTACTGTAAACATGTTCCTACATAGCAGTTATTCAATACTCCATTAATTCAGTTCTAAATAAGGCTGATAAAATAAAGGTCACAGTTTAGAGGAAATCTGTCTTCCCTGAAAAGGAAAAACAGGATGGTTTCCTTTACTTTTAAAAAGGATYGATTTTCCCACTTTAATATTAAGGCCAAGTTCAAGTAATTTGAACAGGAAGGTCTTTTAAGCCAGGGAAATTCACTACTTTTGATGCTGACTCATCATGACAACAAGTAAAGCAATATCCATTTCATACAGTCATACTATAATGGATGTATTCCAAGATTGATGAGCAATAACCCTGACAATAGCCTTGGATTAATAAAGGTGATGATAGCTGGTATGAAAGCAATGATGAATGATGATGACTGGGATGATTATTATTTTCATTGTAATCACCATGCATGACTATCTGCAGTGTGAAAATATACTAGTCTTTCTCATCTATCATTATTATCATCATAGTTGGGGAAAAATCTTGAATGAAACCAGAAGATAATACACTGCTGAGAATTGTAATTATATAGAGAAAACTATTGCACAGGAACCTTAAAGTTTATGGAAACTAGAACACAGTTTTAGTACAACTCCCAGACTCCCAGGACCAGTTTCTGTGGATTGGGAAGAGTTTTTCACTTATTAAAGGCCTGTGCTCCAATAGTCTTCTTCGCAGTTCCCTGCGCCATCTTGAAAAGTAGCCATGCCTTTGCATCAAAGCGAGACAACTGTTCAGAGTGCAATGATAGAAACCTTCTTTCACACTTACAGACAATCATTCACAGGTATCTATCATTGCACGCTCAACGGTTGTCTCGCTTTGATGTAAAGGCACGGCAACCTTTCAAGATGGCGCACCTAACCATGAAGGAGACTATTAGCTWTCATCTRTTATACTAGAATATTTCATTACCATTATTACTCTTGGTTCCAAAAGGAGGGTTCRTAATAACTGTATCAAATGGCTTTCTATCACAAAAGAAGTCTTTTGCCTGTGTGATGTCAATCTGAACTAGKTCTAAATTATCAATATCAAACTCTTGACAGTTCTTGCTAGCAGTCTCTAGGGCATCTTGATCGATATCAAATCCAACACAAGTAGAACAACCAAGCATACAAGCACCAATGCTTAAAACACCACAACCGCATCCAATGTCTGCAATCATTTTGCCTTCAATATCATCATAAGTCTGATCTATTGTGTATAACATGTGAGAAGCGATGTGCGGCGTCGTAGGATATTGTTCTAACTCAACCTTGGGATTCTTAAAGACCTCAACTTGCTGCAAATAACCTTCGAGTTCTTTAAGTCTCATTTTATCAGCCTAAAAACTCCTTTGAAATGACCATCAAAAATTCAGGGATCAAGCGTCCGCCATTTTTACTTGGTAGCCTGGCGATATGTTCTAGTGTTTACAAAATGGCGGACAAAGGTGAATGGGTGTCTTTCGATGAAGACGAAAAACAAGCTGAAACCCTTCCGCCGTTGATTAAAAAACCCGATAAACAACCAGAGTTTTTAAGCTCGGAAGCTTACATATCAGTATTAGGTGAGTTTTGATGCGAAAAGAACACGGAGCTCACAKGGAACTTATTTTAAAAGCTCTTAATATTTGTAACTTGAGCTTATAAGCTTAACATAAAAAGTGTCAATAGACTGTAAGAAATCATAAGGCATTGCAGTTCCTATTTCTCACGTCTTTTTATGATAATCAGTGATTGTGTTGATGATGATTATGAAAATGATGATGATATAGCTGTATCTGTCGATACATTTTATTTTATCTAAATGTTGTTGGACTTAAAAATAATCATTTTGTTTACATTTGGTAGTTTCTTACCCACCAATCACCTATAGATCAGGATTCAAAAGATGATAATAATATAGGTCTTGATTAATAATAATAATAATAATAATAATAATAATAATAATAATATGTGGTATTTATATAGCGCCGATATCCTCTGAGTTCAAAGGCGCTTCACAATCCAAAGATTCAGTCTCGGCTTGGGACATGGACCACCTGAGCTTAGTTTGTTTAATGTGGTTTTATTTTCCTTCCAACGAAAGGTTATTCTCATGGTATGCTACCTATCCCCTTATTTATCCACTATCAACTAGTGAGAAATGTCACTGGATACCACAGGTGGATAAGTGGGAACCCTGTGTCACTAGTAGTAGTACAGTACATTCCCTTGATATTAAAAGTACTTAGCATTTTATTGTTCTCTATTCTCTCAGAGAGTAAATTGAAAAAAGTCAAAGGACAAGATCCATCAAAACTAACATCCAAAGATCTCCTGGAGAGTGTGCGTCAAGCAAGAGAAAGTCATCTAGAAAGACTAGTTATGAACAATGATGATCAACTATTTCATGACTTCATACCAGAAGATACAGATGCTGTAAATGGGGTTCATTGTATGAATTTATACACAAGAATGTTTCCTAAACAACCTATAAATRCAAAGGAATTAGAACATCTTGTCGCTGACAATGAAGATGAAAAGAGTTGACATTCCATTTTGTAATAGCTCAGTRAGAGCTCTAAACAGTCGTTTTTGGTTCCATTATTCACAGCCAAACACCAGAGAGAACTAGCAAGCATGCCCTTTTCTCARATTCTGGTTCATAGTTGATTTCCAAAAGGACCCAAATAGTGCCAATTATTGAGCAACTATAATTTATGTCATAGTCCAGTAATGTACATTTATATGGGTATAGGTAGTTATAATAATTATGACTAGACCAATAAAATATCAGAGAGATTGTTCAATGTATTGTTTTGAATTGAAAAATGCAGAATAAGWTTTATCTAAGTACGCGGCCAATAAYTGGGCTTCCTGTTTCGCGACGAAATAGTCCTCTGAGTAGACAGCACTCGATGGTGCGCTTGTGCTGAAAGATAACGTGTGGACTTAATTTCCTCCTTCATTTTGACCATTTATTCATATAAATTCTCAACAAAAAATGGATTTATATTTATAACGATAAAACTTAGCCCAGTGCCACATGGACATAGTTACCATAGTTTCTGGTAAGAGTTACATGGCATGCAGCCTGCGTGTAAACTTTCGTCTTTTAACTTCTGGAGTCGGCAGCAGTGTTAAACAGTTCTCAATACTGAATGTATATGGATTCCTCTCTGTCTTAACTTAAACACAAAATGACTGAAAAATCTCAACCAGAAGGTCAAGCCAATGATGTTGATGACAAGGTACAACTTGACGACGTTGAAGATGAAAAACTAAACGCAGAAAAAACTATAACACCAAATCATAGTCAAAACGGCAGCGTACGTCATCGGAAAACGAAAAAAGGTTCAAGTCACAAGAATAATATCACAGCTAAAAAGAATCAAGAAGTAAAAAAAATCCTGGCCGCAAAACAGTCATCTTCGGGTAAGGGAAAAACGCGGTCCCGAGTCAATCTTGCTGGTGCACTCAAAAGCTTGGTGTCTGGAGATTCGTGTATCGTGTCATTTATAGTGGTAGTTGCATTGACTATTGGTACCAGATTTTACAAACTTGAGGATCCAAATCACATCTGGTAAGATGTTATATAACGCACTAAAAGTACATGTTCCTTTCAGATTTTCAGGTAGGATCGAGGTAGGAGATAGATAGATGTCCAATAAAAAAGCACATTTTGGAAACGAAAACTTTCTTGATCTTTATTATTTATGCATTGGTTTGTACTGCCTTGATCCGATTTGAATTTTATGAAAAGATGAAATCATTTCACGATGAATCATTTTATTTTTAGACTAAGCATAGCGCAACAGGAAGTAAATTTTACTTCCGGTTGAAGCCGCGGCGGCCAGAGGGACTGTTAACGACTTTTTCAGCGTTCACACTCGAAATGTTTAGCCAAAAGATTGATAAAATTATTATGTGATTTTCTTCAAATTCATTGTAAATATTRTAATCATGGGCAAATCCAAGGATGACAAGAAAACTAAAACGCCTGGAAAACCTAAGGAAATCATAGCAAGCAAAGATAATGAAAAAGATAAAGAACCCGAAGTTAAAGCTGTTCAAAAATGTGGATCTCACGCTAATATGGAGAAGAAGTTACTCAAAGATATACAATGTCTAAGCCGTCTTTTAACTTTTACAGTAGTCTTATTTCTTTCCTTTGCTACAAGACTTGTTAACTTGAGTGATCCAACTCATATWTGGTGAGTTTTGTATTTGAATTCCGTCGTAAACGCTTTGCTAGTCACCGGSCATCAAAACTATGCTGAAACTGACGTCTAGTGATACAATCTTGCAAATTTTGTGCAAATATATTCACGGGGGACGCTCAATAGCTTGATACTCATGATTCTGGTGTTTTTTTTAAACCATTGACACCGGATTAGACACGTTGTTTTTAGTTTTCAAAAGCTTGTAAGTTTTATTTATTTTCTTTGTTAAAGACAACACCCAATATCCGTCAAAACATTCTTTGTTCTMTATGACTAAAATCACTGCGATCCTTGCATATCGATACAAATCTAGACACTTAACATTTAAAATAACCACAGTTGTCTGACTATAATATGTTAGAAATTAGAATGACGAAATGAAAGTCAATGCAATTGTACACGATATTGATTAAGATAATTCAGTTTAGATTAATCATCTGATAACAATTATATAAGCTTAACAGATGGTTCTAAGTCTATAGCCTTTCATTATGGAGATAGTAAATTTCTTCTTGAACCTGTACCATGAGTGATCGCTGTTATGGTCAATTAAGCTTTCAATATAGCACCATTGCCATTAATACACCTGTTAAACACCTAGCTGGTGTAATCTCATGGATATAGTTTTACYGAAAAGTATATGATAGAGTATAGATTATATATAGATTATATACAGAGAGCTTGATAATATTAATTGTATGAATCTATTTTGAAAAAATGTTRGCAGGTTCAAATAAGCACTGACCTACAAATAACTAGGCTAATTTAATTTTCAGTTTCTGCAACATACCACAGTTAGAATTCCCCTTCTTCTAACATTAGGTTTTCTGTCATCATTGATTATTTGTCTTATGCCTCCCTTTGCTCTTAGCTTTGATGATAAAGCCTGATATATGTGTATACACTCAGCTATTTCAGAAAAGAAGATAATAGCATTTTGTAACATCACTGTGGAATCCAATAACAACAATGCWTTTTTGTCTTGGAATACRCTATGCAGTGCCACAATATTCCATCTAGAAATGCATCAAATCAATTTAAATAAATTATACTGTCGTTCTGTTATATGTTGAATTATTGCAATTTTTTATTCTTATATATTATGCTGTTTTTTTCATCTTTAGTTGGGATGAAACTCACTTTGGAAAGCATGCCAATTTCTATATCAAAGGAGAGTTTTTCTTTGATGTTCATCCTCCTCTTGCCAAGGTAAATATGTACATTATTACATGTTACATTTGGGAAGAAGTAAAATTATTTTTGGTTGTCATAAATTATTTTTCATCCTCTGTCTATGTTCACTGCAGTGTAAAGATTAAAATGAAATCATTTTTTTTTTTCATTGTTTTAGATGTTGATTGCTATGGCAGGTTCTTTAAGTGGTTATAATGGATCATTTCCTTTTGACAAACCAGGGGACCCTTATGGTGAAAACAGCTATGTTGGCATGAGATTTGTAAGTGATTTGCATAACCTTATATATCACAATTGCTTTCACAAAAATGCAATATTATAAAGTCATGAATAATAAATTTTTGCCTTTACAGTAACCATAAAATTCCAATAAGAGATAAAAATGCAAAATATGTATTTTTGCCAAGTTATTACAGCACTAATACATTTAAATGAATTGGAGTTCCTGTGTATTTGGGTTGCCCTTGTAATATTGCCGTTTAGAGCTGTCAATCAATGGATTGTTCAACTATTCATTGAAAGTATTTATTAAGCCAGTTTTAAATTCCTGTGAATTATCTGTGGCTATGATTGCGGTGTCATCTCATTATTGTATGATCTCGTTTTAGCTATGTGCATTACTAGGATCGTTATGCATTCCTCTAGCATACTTAATGGTCTGGGAGCTGACCAAATCTACTACAGCATGTATTCTAGCCACTGGTTTTATTCTATTTGGTATGTATAATGGAAATGTTACTCCTTTGATAAGGGTAGAGTGTCCTGCACTTCTCCACAACTGAAATGTTTATTATTTACATTTGATTTGTTCAGATCATGGATGTATAACTATATCACAGTATATTCTACTGGATCCTATTTTGATGTTCTTTATAATGCTGTCRGCATACTGTTTAACGAAGTTTCATTCATATAAAAACAAGTAAGTYTAGGGAAGTTGGTTATAATTAATATTGAATATGATAAAATGGTGATTATTATGATGTTCATGTGTTGTTCTCTGTAGTGGAAAACAAGCTGCAAAAATGTTTTAACATGATGATGTATTTTKAGTTCATACAGTTTTAAGTGGTGGTTTTGGATGATAGCAACAGGCATTGCTTTGTCATGTGCCTTCAGCTGCAAATGGGTTGGTTTATTTGTCATTYTATGGGCTGGTATCACTACAGTCATGGAATTATGGGAAATATTAGGGAACCTGGAACTATCTCTGGTGAGTTCGTCTATTGATTTTATCATCCACTTGTTTCATAGCTGAYATAAAAGCAGATATCATTTGAATGTGGTTGCAAGATAACAATATTTCTTGTTTATTATTCTCATACATGTAGATAGATGTTGGTAAGCACTTTGCAGCAAGAGTRTTTGGTCTCATCATCGTTCCAGTGATGGTCTATTTGTTCTGGTTCAGTGTGCACTTTAGAATGTTACCAAACACGTAAGACATTAAGTATTTTAATGAAACCCAGTGTAGAATGGAGCAATGCAATGGATGAGAACTTGATGCACTGAGCCACATGGGATAGGCTCAGAATTCATTTATTTAGAGTTTGATGCGTAATTAAGTTAATTAAAATACTTTATCAGTTGACTGATAATTATTGTTGGTTTTTGTATTGTAGTGGTCCTGGAGATGGGTTCTTCAGTTCTGCCTTTCAATCAACTCTCAAAGGGAATCAATTATACATGACTGAAGTCCCAGAAGGTGAGTAGGTTTAGGTAGGGAATGGATTATTATTATTATTGTACCTGTTACAAAGATGACCCAGTATAATATTGATATTTTACCTATACAAAGATGGCCCAGTATAATATTGATATTGCTTTTCCTCCCTGTTAAGGCATATCCTTGTCAATTTCTTTTCTTTTAAAAACTAGACTTAACTGTATTTTCTGAATTATTCCAGAGTTAGTAGATTAGTTTAATCATTTAAGTACAAAAAGCATTAATGATACATTGGGCACTATTTTTATAGATCTTGCATTTGGATCAGTTGTTACCATTAAGAACCATAGAGGAGGTGGTGCCTTGCTGCATTCTCACCCTCATTTATACCCTAAAGAACACCCACCAGAACAGCAACAGGTGAGAAAACAAATTCCACAACATCAAATTGCTTGAAATTCATTAGGAAGACAGCATTCCTCATTGGCTAGTATCTTCATTCTGGGACGAATTTAAATGAACTCAATATTGAAAGTCTCCCTTACAATTTAATCACATGCCTCCCAATAATATCTAACTTGCCAATAAGTTCTGGGCTAGGTCAAGCTCAAGTGCATTTTATTTTTGCTAGAAATTTGCAATTAGTGATGTGTTGGCCTGCAAAATAACATAGATACTAATTGGGGCAGGACAAGTAAATTTAATTTAAAGCAGAAAGAATCTAAAGAAAATTAGAGAACAGTTTGTTCTAAAAAGGTTGAATTATACTATTCGAAATGAAGTACATAACTTTATCCACCCTTTATACAACCAACCCTTTTCAGCCTATGAAAAAATACCATTCCTAATGTTTGCATGTATTTTATAGGTCACAGGGTATTCTCACAAAGATGATAATAATAAATTCATTATTAAAAAAGCATATGAAGAATACGGTAAGTCTAACTTGTTACTACTGTTTACATGGCTATACAGCTAATCCAGATAAAGCTTCACAACTGAAATAACCAATAGACTGCTGTCAACTAAAGTGCTGTGGCGCCAACCACTGTTTTGTTTCAAAATTTTGATTGACGACAGTCTATTGCTAATTGCATGATGTGAGTTTGTTTGTGCTAGTTTCATAGCAGCAATAAAAATGACAGTAAATTTGTTTTCAATTTGATACAGACAGTAATAAACCTGTGGAGTTTGTGAAGGACGGAGACTGGATTAGGCTAGAGCATGTATCGTAAGTATTTTGTTATTTAAATATAATACTCCATATTGCATTTACAATACCTTATACCATTATGAGCTGTAAAAGACATTTACCATTTTTTGATTTGTAGTACAAAGCGCAATGTGCACAGTCACAATGAGAAACCACCATTAACTAAACATCACATGCAAGTTACAGCATATGGAGAGGTACATCAACAATTTTTTGTGTGAAATAATGAAGTTATCACCCGATAATATAGCAATCTTGTGATATGTACAACATCTTGGGTCAGTGTACGAAGTGATATCCACCAGATAGATCTTTATGCAGTAGGTCAGCTTTATCAGGTGGACTTTATCCAAACTTCATACTTAACTAGTCACTGTCTTTGTCTCTAGAATGGAAAAGGTGATGCCAATGATTTTTGGAAGATAGAGGTTATTAGTGGTGGCGGTGATCGTATTAAAACTGTCAAGACCATCTTCAGACTGATTCATGTCAACCTTGGATGTGCTTTACATATGTCAACTAAAACACTTCCAAAATGGTACAGTGACATTGTCATAGTCTAGATAGATGTTATCTTTAACATACTTTGGTGATTTTGAATGTACAGCACCATTCATGTATTGAAAATATAGCCTTACCCTTAACACGAGAAAGAAAAAAACGAAAACTGAGACTAATCAAATTGTTTAAGTTAAACCTAATTCATATCTCAGCAAACAAGGTTTTTAACTAAATATAAATTTAGTAAGAAAATAAAAGGTGTGGGAAGAACATTATCCTTGTTAACCATTTTGGAGTATAATATAATTTTAATTAAAGGAAGTGACTTCTTGTAAAAGGAATGTCAGTTTGTTGTGTATTTACTAAACATAAAGTTAATTTATTGAAATATATTTTCATATTATCAGGGGTTGGGAGCAGTTAGAAGTCACTTGTAATCCATCAATACACCACACTAACAATCAGTGGAATATAGAAGGACATGAGAATGACAGAGGTAAGTAGTCAATCAGGACAGTTTAATCAAAAATTATTTCTAAAATACATCATTGACATTGAAGTGATTGTATATCAGTACATCGTACTGGCTGCAAAATATAATGCCTGTAGTACATGTTTATATTGTTCTTTGTGTAATTTCAGTTCCAAAAGCAAGCCCATCATTATACAAGCCATCTTTCTTAGAAAGTGTATATGAATCACACATTGTTATGGCGCAGGTAATTCATTGTATTGCAGCATCGTTTTATTTTAATGAACTAAATGTTGTTCATGCTTAATTTTCCTTTCTCTTGACCTTCAATAGACTAATGCTGGCTTCAAACCCAAAGAAGGCGAAGTCACCTCACAGCCATGGCAATGGCCAATCAACTATAAGGTAAGTCATGTGATAACAAATGCAGCTATTTGATTTGTGTATTAATTCTAATTTATATCCTATAGGGTCAGGTGTTTTCTGGAGGTGACAACAGAGTTTATCTACTTGGAAATCCAGTAAGTCCACATAGTTTTGATTATATTAACGGTAGAATCAAGAGCTTCTCAAGAGATAGTAATGTTGCAGATTTAGATAATTGTTTTCAACAGATAATATAATATAATATAATATAATCCTATTTATATAGCGCTTATCCAATTCTGTTCTAAGCGCTTTAAAACTACATGACAACTACAAAACACATGAGAGTCTTGGTAGACTGTGAGCTTGAGATGTTGTTTGTTTTGGTCTACCTGTGTAGGTTATTTGGTGGTTCATAATAGCTGTCCTGCTGTACTTTGCTGTTGTGTGCTCAATCTTCGCTGTACGAACTCAACGTGGTTATGCTGACAGCCCTCAAGAACAAGGTAGATGCTCCTTTATTCACAATTCTTTTCACGTTTCCTTCCTCTTTCTGTCTGAGCTAATTCCCTTGCATCCTCTTCTGTATTCTACCTTCTGCTCTAACAGTTACCTCTCTCTCCCTTCCTGCTGAAAACGAATTTTTGAATTAATCATAGTACTATTTTTTTAGCTCATCGTAAACATGTTGAGTCTATTTGTGTATGGTTACTGCTGGCTTGGGCTTTACACTACTTCCCTTTCTATGCCATGGGACGTGTATTGTACTTCCACCACTACTTTCCTGCCTATCTCTTTAGTGCCATGTTTGCCGGTAAGTTTTTCCAGGTCTTTTTTTTCAGCACTCGAAGATGACTGAAATCCGTATCTCCGTGCGCCCATGTAATATGTATTCAATGCTTTGAAGCTAAGACTGTGCCAACTTCAGCAGTAAAAGAGTCTGTTGTAATTCCCTTGCCAATGAAAGAGTACAAAATCCATGTCTATTCAACAGGACATTATTCGGCGCTGTTATTTAACTAACTCATTTGTATAAACGCTCTTTTAGGCATTGTTAGTGAATACATGTGTGATGTTATATCATCGTTCTTCAAAGTCGACAAATGGAAGATGGTTGCTTACTATGTCAGTGTTGGATCCATCGTTGGCATGTCCATTGTTAGGTAGTTATTAACGTTATCAGTACGATTACTGTTATTGCTGTTTAGTCTCTTACATGTTGTGATTGTGTTGTTGTAGTTTTTACTTGTTTCGTGGTCTATCGTATGGGATGTCTGGTCCAATGGCTCACAGTCCTAACAATACGGCACCTGTTTATAAATGGTTGGATTCCTGGGAAGTCTAAAAGGCGTTAATGGTATTTCCTGGAAAACTCCTGGTCTATTGGTATCTGTCTAACTTTCAGATAGAGTGGCTATATTTTTAATGAATGAAAACACTTTCAAGTTACCACCATCATTACAATTACGACAATCTCAGAGCACTTTAGATATTTATTCAAGAACCGTATAATTCAGCTTTGAACGCCTCTAAAATGATAAAAACGGACGACAGTCCAAATATGTGGTCATTGTTCATAGTATTTGATATCACCATTAATTGACGTCATCTTTTTAATACATGACGTCAGTATTCACGTCATGATATGTGTGGGGTAATTTGTAGTTAGGAATACTATACAGCTATTTATAAAGGAATGCATATCTGCTGAGAAGTTTTGTAGCTACTGTAAAACAATTTAATTGCTTAGGCACATATARCTACAAAATTTAACAAAATTAACGTATTTGATCGAGATGCGAAGTAGAGAAGAGGATATATTATGAATGAAAATGATTTTGTTTTATAATTTACTTTGTAAATCATCAAATAATTATTGAAATGATTAATAGGGGCAATAAAATCTTTTACTGGAAAGTTCATGGTATTGAATTGGTAACTGGGTGTCACAATTTTTATACATTTTCACGACAATTTGATGTGAACGAATGGATAGGAAATGGTTAAGTGAAAAGACATATCTCACGTCGAATTCTAGTCAATTTGTTCAATCGACAACAATCCCTGAGGTGTGTAAGGATAAGGGATTTCAGAGAAGGGATTATCGCGTGATTCAACTCCAAGTTCCTTAGTGAGAATTTCAACTAGTTTTTCCTGGTCGCTTGGATGGGCATGAATGCATCCATTGCTGAAAACAAAACAGAAATTAAGATTATCAATTGCAAGGCATTATGGTTAAAAGCACGTGTTTTACCTGTTTGGCATAGGTTGATTGGACTTCCAGTTATCCCATTGTCCGGTATGCACAAGAATCCCATATCGGATGTATGGTATAAATGTTTGATTATCATCGGGTCCAATTGCAACATTACCTTTAGGCAAACAATAGCACTTTGTTACATTATGATGTAACGTAACCCTGTCCACCCTTCTCATAACAACTCACCCTTTAGTCCCTTGACTTGCCGAAGTACATCATATCTGTATTGAGATTACATAAGTCAAGGTGACAATTTTAGGACGGACGAATGACATACTGTACTTACGGCCCAAAAGATTTCACACTTGGTTCGGGGCTGTTGAGATCACAAGTCTAAAGAAGAAAGGAAAGCAAGCGGTCATTATTCTTAGCCTGTGTAGCGGCTCAGAGGGAGGGGGAATGGGAGAAGGACCGCTAGGCCGGCTAAGTCATTATGGGATGGTCTGCAAGGGGTTTTGAACCATCATTATGCAATAACCATAATGTTGGATTAGATACCGTGAGGGGCTTGGGTACCATTCCTGCATGAAATGCACTCATCAGTGCAATACCACTGAGATCAAAATAATCAATGAAATTTCAGTTAAATGGTATCAACTGTGTTAATAATTTGTAGTGTAAGCTGTACAATACACAAAGAACTAAGGAATGGCTATTAAATATATAGTTTACATAGAGAACATTACACAGGAGATACGACTAATTGCTTTTTGAAAATTCAAAACTATAAAATTACAAAGATAATACTGATGGACTAGTACAATGTAAAAAGGGCAAAAAGAAAAAAGAGAGAAAAATAAAATAAAAGAAGCTCATATAGTATCACTAGTGCGATTCCAAATCATTGTGACTTGATCCTACTATCCCAGGATTTAACACCCAGCGCCTTAACGAGTTGCGCCACTGGACCACACTCATTTACATAATAATAGACCACTTGACACTTTCACCGAATAGACTACCCCAATTTGACATTATATTTTCGATAGTTACCTAGTTAGTGCAAGGGGTTATCCATCAGTGTCTAGGGGCCGGATAGCTTCTCCCTCACTGGCTTTTTAGTTAGCGCGAAGTTAGGACCAATTATCGGGATAGCATGGAAGAGCCGAAATCTCTAACCGGAATGTAAATCGATTCGACGCCTCAGCTTCACAGAATGTCTCGGGGGAATCGTCCCAATCTCTTTTTAAATTTTTCCATTTGTACGTCGAGGGTTCGAATCCCGGGATGGCTCATGTACCTGTTTTTCGATCTTTTCTTTCCCGTTTTTTTTTAACCCTTTGGACATTTTTCGCTTTATAGATTATGTTTGTGTCTGAGTACTTACTGCTAGCCCTGTTGGAGTATTTCCATTTGTTGTTAATTGGTTTAAGTTACTGTGTCCATGAGTACGAACGAGAAACGAATAGACGACCTGTAAAAAACAAATTATTCAATAATTTATCAACATATAATTCATCAAGCAACCGAGCACGCACAGAGTACAACAATCCAGTAGTACCTTGTTATTTCTGTTATAAAGTAAGGCTGTTGTTTCAATACTCCGATTTCTTCTAACAGGAATGTATAGCTGACGAGGAAAAGAGAAGTTTATAGATTTATTGAGGAGTCCACCCATCCATTCTCGACTACCATGGGATTTCAACTGGTATCGCCCTTCAATCCGGTTTAAGTCCACCGCGCGTCATCTGACTTCACATCATAAACGGCTGCTTATAATTTAAGTAAGTCAGCAGCGTTGAGAGGCTAAAGAGTCTGCGAGTTGAACAACTGATTTCACAGATAGAAGTTGATATAAAATCCGTGAAAAGTAGTTCTTATTAAGCTACTATGGGTGGAGAGATCTCGACGCGAACTTCAACACTCGCGAAAGTATGATTTATAGAAGGGAACTTAAAAACTACATTGTCGGTCGTCATTACATCGACTACTTACTTTGAATTTGTAGCCTTCTGGGACGGCAATACCTTCGTCCTTATAGCCATCATACATCAAATGCTGCAGTATAAATTCTGCAGACTCCACGTCTAATCGTCCGGTACTACAAATAAAATACCGTGTGAGCTTTTAATGTTCTCGCGAGTTATTGACTTGTTTTTTCTTCATTCCCTTTCTTCCTCTTCTTCTTCGTCTTTCCCCCGTCTATTCCTGCTCTATCAAATCCCCAACTACGACTTTAATATTTTGGATTGCAATTGGTTAACATTAATCAGTGCAAATGAAAAACAGTAAAATGCATACACTACATATGCCCGCCATAATTTGGCCATATGGGTTAGCTATTAAAACTTACCTTTTTAGGTTGTTCTTTTCCTGATAATCGTRCAAAGCTTTACGTGTTTCATTGTCAAACACTCCTGATATTTTGAGGAATGGTAATACTAGTGATGATCTGAGAAGCAAACCTTGAAGTATCGTCACATCTTTACCTTAAACAAATAATTTTCAATGATTATTAATATATCTATGATGATAAATTTCAGCGCTAGATAAAGGCGATATCTTAAGGAAGGAAGATCCTCAAAATATTGCAGCTCATTTTATTTGGTTAATTTATATTCAAAATTCTAGCTGTTGCATACAGATTAGTGATATTGTTTTAGGCAACGTGATTTGCTCGACTAATTGTTATGGTTTTTGTACTTGTTGGTTTGCTTGTTTTTTGTTTTGTTTTTGTTTTTTTTTTGTTCCTTTGTTCGTATTTTTTTGTGTGTTTCTTTGTTCGTTTTGTTGCTGTTGTTGTTTTTCTTTTCTAGTTTCACTGTCCCAGTTAAGATATTGTATTTCTTTGCCATGTCATGTCATTATCATAATTTATGTTTTCAAGGGTATAYGTCGTTGCAAAGGAACACTTTATAATTTTAGCAGTAAAAAAGAAGCAAATGCACTAAACTACACTGATCTTATGCGAAAACAACCGATATATAGATGTTCCACAGAGTTCAGTAAAATTACTTCACCAAAATATATAAAAAATAAATATAAAAACTCATTTCATGAATAGGTAAACAACATATTAGTCACGATTTTTTTTCTCTCGAACAGGAAGATTCAAACTTAATTCTGTTTTACCGAGTCAATTAGTTAAATTGAAGACGAGGAGTCCACTGTCACCGTACCTTTCATTTCAGGTTCTTGTAGCTGTAATTCTCGAGTGAAAGGAAGAGGGTACGGGTTTTCCATGCCAGCGGTCGATTGTCCAGCATAACCCGAACACAAGACGCACAGTACAATCAGATGTAAATAATTCATACCCCCGCTTGAATGTATTTGTTTCCTTGTCACTGTCTGACGATTTTAAGTGAAAAGACTTTGATCGTGTATCGCTTTTGACCTGTCATGACTGGTTTCGAGACATATGTGATGACGTCATCCTGGGACAAGTCTGTAACGAGCCTGAAACAAAGCCTTTTCACACCAAATAAGGCGATTTATACGGAAATGAAACAAAATTAAAGAGTGTATTAGCTCTCTGCGATTTTTTCAAGTGTACGTGTTTAAAGAGTGAAAACATAAAATTCTTGGAAGAGTGACATCACACTGAAGATGCAACTGCAAAAACAAATCAACAAATCAACAAATCAAAAACGTTCTAACAGGTCAAATTTAGTCAGAGCAGCTTTTATGTTTTCGSTGGGTGTCGTCTTCGGGTGTACAGATCCGATTTCCACCCGTGACGATGGTAGAAATATGTGCACACTGCTTTTGACAATTTTGTAGTGATGGGCTTCCTTTGTTATGACGTTYCATGACGTCACATCGACTTTCGTTCGGCCGAAAAATATACACATGCAAAGAAGACATTTGTGAAAAGCTGTAATTTTTCATTCGCAAGGAAAATTTATATTAATTTTCCTAATTCATTTTGCGATTTGGACCAAAAATATCAAGGACTGGATACAGCATACTGTTGATTGATTCAGTGCTTAGGGTTCTTGGATCATGTTCTTTTCGTTCTTCCTTCAAATGCAAGTTAAACAAACTTGTCGCTAATTACCGGACGAAAAGCGACTGAATTCAAACCTAAATTTCTCTATGGAATAACTTGGAACCTCTATAGATGCAACATCATCAATTTTCAAGTTTTAAATTACAGTTCAACGATTAACAGTCGATGATCACTGATGAGTTCAATGGAGTCTGGCGCGCCATTACTGAACGATTACAAACTCGCTTTCTTCGCCAAGCGTTTTCCACAAACTCTACTTGGAGGACTAAAACTTCGACTTGGCTATAAGGCACCGTTCTACGTATACATTAATCAACTGTTATTTTTTCTTTTTCCGTTTGTTTTTGGTGGAATTTTTACGGGTCTGTCGGAGTCACTGATTGTAAATTCGTTGACATGTTGCTATGTTTTTGCTTCCCTGGTTACGTGTTCAGTCATTACCGTAAATATTGTAGTATGGTTCAAAGAGAAGCAATATACAAACGTCTCAAAAATACAACAAAACGTGCTTGCAGAGGAAGATGAAGTAGACTTTGAGTCATGTTGTGGTTTAGAGACTCTGGAATTTATTTTCACCGCAAAGAAAAGTTTACTTCAAATTTGTTTTCATGGAGTAGTTTCAGGCATCATGTGTGGATTATTGTTCTTATATTTATTGCCTTCAAATTTGAATAAACTCTACTCTAACACTGCAGCAACCATTGTATTGTACATATTTGGATGGCTGACTGTCTGTGTTGCACAGTACTCTTTAACAGCCAGTCCTCCACCAGAACCAGCATCATTTCGACCACAAATGTCATTTGACATCAGTCCTTTTATGAGACCRTTCTATGTAGTAATATTTGGTACAGTTGGAGTTATTGCACAGTAAGTTCTACATGAGTTATCTTTTGGAATATGATACAAAATTATGTTGTGTTCAATTATTTATTTGTTTATTTATCTATTTGTGTAGTTTTTTGTTTAAAATAAATAAGTTTGAAAGCTTATTCTATATATGTATCACTATTTACACAATTACTATATTTAAGATGCACATGTGTCTCTGTCCTCTGATATAAACACAGTGGGAATTGAAAAACATGAGAGAAGCAAGCTTAGCAACATGAGCATAGCGAATCACACCAACCCTCAAATTACAAAATTATGTAATTGCTGTGACAATTTTAACAACACTTCATTAAATATTATTCTCTCCATAGATCTCACCCTGAACTTCTTCTTGCTGATCAAATCCTGCACTGTCTTTTTCCATTTTTACTTTTCCTCTGGATTTTTGGGACGTTACCACCACTGGATGCACTGTTTCCATGGTTATTGGAACAATATTTAATATTTGCTGTTGGAGGGTCTCCCATGGCAACAGATATCAGGTTGGTCTAAATATAAACACAAGTGCTCTAAATATACCAGTCTTAGGTATTATTCAGTAAGAGAATGATAAAGATATATATCATGCTGTAATAATACAGCAATTAGCAATAATTTTGCCCTTGACCTTTTGACCTTCCAAATATGGGATATCATTGCTGATATATTTGTGGAGTTTTCCAGTATGAGTACTTTCTAAAAAAATATAAGCAATGCTTTCTCATAATTTCCATATGAAAGTTGGCATAGGGCTGTCAGAATTATTGCATAAAAATGACTTGCTGTTGCAAATATTGCTGACCTCTTGTTGATGAGGACTACAGCTCTGAACTCAAATGAGTAACCAAAATGTTATGATAGCAGCTTATATTCACATTTATTATTTTCCACTAGGTTATTCATCATGGTACTAATATCAAGCATTCCTGTCATACTAGTTGTATTTATACCAAGCCGTGTAGCAGTAATAATCATTTCCTGTGTTTGTGGGTATATTCTAAGCCTGGACTTGTTCAGTATTGTTTCATTGGCTAAATCCAAGGTTGAAAGCAGTGAAACTATCATGAAAACATGCACAATCAAACAGTGGTCTCTAAAAGAAGTCATTGTTATTGCAGCCATGTTTGTTCTTGGTGTCTCTTGTTCTGCAGTTGGTGCCATTATGTCCGATAAAGCTACTTCTTCAATGTTAGAAATCTTTGGTGTGACATTTTGTGTCATTGTGGTGATTTTAAAGCTACTTGGTGATTTCCAAGGTGTATATATTTTTGGATTAATCAGAAATCCTTTATTCCCAAGAAGTACTCAGTCAAGCATTTCATTTAAACAAAGAAAACATCAGTTGAAACAAATTTCAAAAGTTTATCATGTTTTACTTGGCTATGGTAAGGGCTTTTGTTTGTTTGTAGTTCTTTGTTCATGGTAGAGCATATTTCGTGACTGTATACAGAAGCACATATCTCATTACAGTCAGTACAGTCACAGAATCTTGCTTGGTATTGATGCCAAAGGAAATATTGATTCAAGAATGAAGTACTAATCTTCTTGAATAAACAACAGGGCTGGATGTTCTTGTATTGGATCAGGTCATTGTGCATCAACTGATAATAGTTTATGTCTTTTGCGCTTTCAGTTTGTCCTCTTCTCATGTCTGCATTTTTGGGATTGTTTCTTAACAACCAGTCTTATGAAGTGACCGGATTCACTGCAGTTTTATGTGCCTTTGGTATTGTGAGAGCCATGAGACAGGTAAGGTTATTTCCATCTTCTTTTCTTTTCTTTCTCTCTTTCATTCATTTATCCTTTCAATTGATCTTTAATTTATTTTTATTTATCAATCTGTGCATCGGTCAATGTTCAACCGTATGCTTTTTCATTCTATCATTTATTCATTTGTTTACTTTGTTTATTAGATCTGGCAGAACACAATGCTGTGCATTCTGGACCTTTGTGTTGTGTGTTTGATAGACAAGTCATGGTGGATTACCTCAGACCTTGCCATCCAAATTCTCTTTACCTCACTGTGTCGAGACAGAACTCTTCAATTTCTTAAAAAGATGGTCTTCCTATTAACAGTTGCAGTTACATCAGTTTCTCTGAAGAAACAACGTCACAAAGCAACACCAACTGTCCTTATCTTGTCAGTATTCTTCCTTCCTGTCTTACTCGCCATTGTCCTGTCAACTGTTGTGCTTTCTTCACCTCTTCTTCCCATGTTTTGCCTTCCCGTTTTTCTGATTGGTTTTCCCCGTCCTCTTCGCTCTTGGCCTTTAAACGGAAACACAAAAATCTCAACAGGGCCAGATGCTGTATACTACAAACAACTTGCACCTGAAATCATCATGTCTCTGACTCAATCACTTGCCAGTGGAGCACTGGGAATAAGACAGGCTGGTGAGCATTTTATACTGCGATATCAAGATCGGTTAGTTTGGGTACATGTTGTGGAGAGTGGCTATCGGTTCATTGCTGTGGTAATCAAAGGACTTGAGATGCAGGAAACATCTTGTCATACATTGGAGGCTGCACGTGTTGATGAGATCTTTGAAACGGCATTTATTCGTGATGATATGCAGTCAATATTCTATTTTAATCCATTTTTTTTCAATACTCTTTCACCGTGTGATGTAGCTACACTACAGTCTTATTCCGATGCGAGGAATGTCTTAACAGGCATAATAGACCAGCGTGATAATTTATTGAAAGTTTCAGAAAACTTTATCAAGACTTTTACCTGGGTTTTGCTTCACCACTGTAGAAAAACCAACAAAAATCTGGGAAGTGTGCCTGAGAAAATTGTCCAAAATACTAATGAAGGCACTGAGGAAACGCCAAATGCTGGCAGGACGGTTATCAGGATAAATAGTCGTAATGACGGTGATATTAATAAAAGTAAGAATGAAATCAAAAGCACAGAGACATCACTGCTGCAAAGAAGTGGTTCCTTACCAAGCATTAATGGGAGCATATGGTCACAAGACAGCTATGAGCTCGAGACTCTGGACTTGCGTACAGGAAAACACTCTTCCAAGCAAGCAACAGCAAAGAAGAGAAGCGATTTTGAAAGCTTAGATTGTTTTMTTGACGAAGTCATTGAATCAAAAGACATTAAACCAAAAACACCTGAGTACTCACCATTAGGTGGATTCCCTGCTGTCGATGTAGGTGCGCGTAAAAACACTGGCTCTGGTCTAACAGAGGTTTCAACAGACACATTGATTACTGTACTACCATATCGTGAACCACAAAACGACACCAATAAGAATACTATTACTGATAAGCCACTTATGTCGAAAGCATCTTATCAACTAGATTTGCCTCTAAAGTGGAAAACAGATCTTCCGCTCAATGACAAGCAACTTAAGCCTCTTTTTGATAAGTTCTCGTCTTCCTGGTACCAGCATATTATAAATGAACTGCACCTGAGTGAAGATGACTCAGTTGGAAGTGATTCAGAGCTAATGGCCAGGCACCAAAGGTTAATTCTTAACGTCTATACTGTAGTTGAAATGCTTGGTTATCCTGGATCGTCATCCACGGCAGCAGGGCCTATACATCCTTATAAGGTATGCAATGGCGAGATACCTTGGTCTATTCATCTGGATTGGCTCCAGAAAGATACGACGTTGATGTCTCTTGTTTTGAAAGCATACAGGTGAGGTGATAATCTCTTTGTGTCAATGTGGCTCCTTTTGCTTCTCTTGCAGTTTGTTTTTTCGTGTTTTCTCTGTTTTTTTTTTTCATTATCTATTCTGGCGCGCATTTGCCGAGCAGTTCGTTTTCTTCATTTACTTTAACTGTCTGGTATTTTCTGCTATAATGAGTACTGTCACACCATGTCTTATCATAAAGTTTACGTCTTTTTATTCTTAATTCTTGTTTAGATATGCATTCAAGCTCATGTATGACGAGGCAGTCTTGGGCGAGATCACAAGTTTTGAGGAATGCGAGGAGTATTTATCTGAATATGAAAGCGACTGGTACATGGGTCAGGATACCGATAATGAATGGACGACAGCTGTCTTAAACACAAAACCAAATCTATTTAGTCTTGGTCGCAACACCAATGACGTAAGTACAAAATTTGCTATCATAGAACGGATAATGGTCGTTATGGTGACTATGACGATGGCAGTGATGAAATAACRATGTCATTCGTGATTATGATATTTCGTACTTTCGTTTTCGATGTAATAGACGGTATAATTTCCTCAATGATGATATGAAACCTATAATATGGTAATCGTCAAAGTGGGCGCGGTTAAAATACGGTTCTAACAGAGTCACTTTATATTGTTAGTAGGGTACGCTGTACCCCTGTTTTCAAAGATGATTTCACATTAATATTGCAAATTGTAGTTTGAAAGCGACATCTCGCATTTTAAATGGTAAATGATTGACTATTTGGGCTGCTAATGCTATGTATTGTTCGAATGTATGGTTCGARTAACGATATATAACGTTATTTCATTGTATTCTGTGGTAACTATAGTTTTTGTTATTTTAGGGTACGTATACAAGTCGTGTGTTAACATGTCAAAGTATCCATGCCCCTATCGGCCTTCTGAACAGTGAAGCGGTGCGTGGTCAGTGGGCATCACTGGCTATTGAGCTACTTTACTTTACCAACGATGACGAGGAAAGATACAGTATTCAAGCTCATCCAGTTCTATTGAGAAACCTAACAATACAAGCAGCTGATCCACCGCTTGGGTACCCTGTGTATTCCTCTGGTCTTTTATCAGTACCAATCCACGTTTCATTTTTATAGTGAATCCCTTCAACCGTAGTAGTGCATCGTTCATACTGCGGTCTGAATCGGCGACTCTAATCCAGGGTACTTTACATGCGAATGGAAGAGTGAGTGCCGAAGACTATGTACATAGTTTTACTTGGTTTGCATACAGTACCATTAAACGGCTGACATTAATCCGAAGAGTCATACATATTTATTTCATGTATTTATTATATCATGCATTTTATTCTTACAGCGAAAACTGATATAATAGCAATTTTCCCAAGCATACAAACTCACACGTTAGAGTGATCGCACTTAAACTGTGCAACTGTACAAAATCTAAGTAGTACCAATTTGTACTAAAAGTGGACCTGAAGCAAGACGGTATTGAGTGCTTCATTTGTATCAATTCAATTTAATTTGAGTACCCCATGCACGATTTACTAAACACAACTAAATAGCACTATTTAGTTTGTACAATTACACGGTTTAAGTGCGATCACTCTACTGATATTGAAATTGTCCAGTTGAGACAAACAATGTGTCGCTAAACTATCAGGTGCTTGCATGCTGTAAATATGTAATATTCCCTACAAATTAAATGTGGATGCAAACGAAATAGTAAGTAGTAAATAGTAAATAGTGCAAAGTGTTACACGCTTTTAATGTTTGTACTCTAATAATACATATACACATAATTACAAAAACGTCCAAGAAAAAGAATTTTTGCTATTTAGGAATTCTTAAAAGTTAAAATACAAAAGAAAATGTTCAGGTTTAGTGGTCAGGACGTTTTTGTAATTAGGTGCAAAAGCAATATTTCCAAAATAGAAATAGTGTCGAAAAAACGCATAAAACCGATTTCTATACTATTATAATTCACACAAAAACTAGAATTACTTCAGTACATAAATGGAAAAAAATGAACATGATCGATGCATAGGTTACATCATTCCCAGTTGGTGTGCCATAGCAACAGATGAAACAGCCTCCATCATCTGATAGAAGGATTTCAAATCACTTAGATTCAGCGGCTCAAAGACGTAAACACGATGATTGGACGTCACTACGGCAACGATTTGCTTGAGGTTGCCTGTTCGATGTCCACCAACATTTTGAAAGCTTGAACACATCTTGATAACTTTAGCGATGTGTCGTCCTGGCAGAACATTACTCAAATCTGTAAAATTATAGGATTGTTAAGAGATGAACTCGTTTTATTGCATATTATTTTCTTGTCATATTAGTGTGAGGTGCAGACTCCTGAGGTGGCCGGGTAAATGATTGTTTGAATAACCGGTCTTTCTGTTTATTGTTATTTTTTAATTACCAGTTAAATCTATAACTTTATCCCTTCTTCTCCGTGGCCCTTTCTTCTTCTCTTCTGGCTCTTCACTGGTTGCCGTAAATACAAGTCTACCCTCGTGTTCCTCAAGGTAAAGCTTGCCATATTTTGGAGGTTTGGATCCTGCTAAATTAAGATACAAAAGTGTAAGAATTACTATGCAGGTCGGATTATTGTCGCCATAATAATACATAGCGATATAACAAATACCGATAAAAATGAATGGGAATTAAGATGAGAATGAGAAAAATGTTAAGTGGAAAATTATCAATTAACGTGAATGAAGATGATGAAAGATAATAGAACATCTTTATTCTATTATGAGTTAGGCAAAAATCCTCTAGAATACAAAGAAATTTATCAAAGAAAACGAATGATATAATAACCTTTTCTCGAGTGCAGAAACATATCGACTCCAAGTACAAACTTCTGGATTGATTTTTTTTCCATGTACGTTCTCTGGATGTACTTTAAAAGCCCAAACCTTCGTCGATAAGTCAGGCCAATAGCTGTTGCTAGTATGGCACCAGTAATAAAAGCATCTGCAGGCTCACTGAGTGCCAAGTGGTCTCCAGGGCACATGTAAACATCCATGTTCCCTTCCACAAGTAATGACCACGCCTCATCGGAGCTTTCTTGAAGAGGTTTGAGTGGCGTAAACCGTTGATCAGCGCTTTTCAAAAACGTCAATGTACCTTGATAGTATACCTATTTTATTCCAATGGAATATTAGATTAATATATGGAACAACCACTTTTGGTAACTGAATTTGGTCTTCTATACAGAATTCCTGACACAGTCTACACTGTTATTAGTCTCCTCGCAGCCGTTCTTAGTGGCGGGCTCCTGACTAAGAACGGCTGCGAGGAGACTACACTGTTATATTTTACATTCAATTCACTTTTTAACTCATAAAAAAACTTCACTTACCGCCCCTGGTTTCCATTCTCGGTGTTTACGAGAAGCAAGTTCGTTATCCTGATGAAGTGAATCTCGCAGTCGTTTGATGTCATAAAGTGCAATTTGAAGTTGCTGCGCTCTTTCTTGAAGAAACTCGATGATGCCATCTTGTGTAAGCGTTTTCCGTTTTGCTTCGTATTCTTGGGATGTCATTTTTAATGTATGAGCTGCTAGCTTAGAAAGAACTTGTTCAAATGTCGCCTACAATAAAATACCGAGGTATTAGACTGCGGACACCGTATAAACTGAAAAAGAATTGCCATCATGTTTGTCTTCGTTTACCGGCGCTGATCGTTTGAACTGCAAGGTTTTGATAGGGTTATGAACATATACACACGTTATGTTTTTGTCCTGTATTTCGTGTTATCACGGATGCACAATACTTGAAAGGCGACGGAAAGCCTGATAAGAAAAGGAAATACAAACCTGAAAAAGTTTATCCATCAAATGCTCCAGCTTTGTACCACCAAACAGAATTTCGAGTCTCGCTGCTGCAGAGCGGTTGGAAATCTCCCAAGGAAAAGTATCAATCATTGCCAGAAATGCGACATCTTCACCTTGTTCTACTAGCACGCTTGCCATTTCAAATGCTATCAAGCCACCAAACGATTGGCCTCCAAGAAAATATGGACCGTGTCTTTGTAGCTGTCTGATCATGTTCACGTAGCTTTGAGCAAGTTGGCGAACACTCCTTGAATCTCCAGTCATTGTAGGATCAGTGTAGCCAATTCCGTAAAAAGAGACCAGTGACTGCATGTAACAAGATACATAGTGAGAAATCATAATATTGAATAGTACATGCAACTTTTCTATAACCACGATATCGTGAAATTCATGCAGTCTTAGGCTTAGCACTCACAATCATATATCATTGAGCTTCTGATTTATTRCTTACTTGTGCTTTAAATGCATCTGATATCGGTACAAGGTTCATCACATACCGGCCAGCAGGATGAACGCAGAAGAACATGATATCTGCACATTCTGGCACGCACARGGGTGTGAGCTGATATGTGGCGGTGGGACAGCTTGTATCTTGGGGATACTCCCTAATTCCAGGTTCTAGTTCCTTGTGTTTTGATTGGTTTTCCTGGATATCGTTTTGRTCAGGTGTTTTGTTTTCAGTCGGTGATTTAGCATCTACCTGATYGGTTGGTTGTTTTGATTTGAGCTTGTGAAGTATGTCTTGGACAATCTTGGAAGGAGTGGTGTCTGGTTGCATGAAGTAAAACACCTAAAATGACAGAACAAACAAAGGTTTTATTTGTACTCTAGATCACTGAAATATTTATTCTGGGCTTATCCCGAAAGGATTTTAAGACCGTAGTTCGAGAATTTCACATGATCAGAGATATCCAACCTCAAACGAGACTTCCAGGGTAGATTCAAGTTGCATCTTAAACGTCAAGGCGAAGAACGAGTCTAGTCCATGCGTGTAAAGGCTCGTATTTAGATCAATCTCAGCTGCAGGTACACCAGAAAATGAGGACATCATATCTATTACGAACTCTTCCACCATTACCTAAAGAATATAAATGCATCCAGAATGAAGCTCTTTCGCACTCGTCCTCTAGACCCAAGCCCTTTAAAAATATTGTTTACTGGGGCGGGTTATAATATCCACCGGATAAGCAATCAAAACACAAATGCGTGAAAAGTACTAATCAAATAGTGCTAAATAGTGGAAATTTGAGAGAAAAATAGTGTAGAAAACAAAGGAATTTGCCCAGTTCAATGGAATTTAGCACAATCTAATTAGTACACTATTTTGGTTTTAGTGTTTGCACTCTTGGAAATTTTCGTTAAATGGTATTGAGGTGTAAACTTATTCTGGCATGAATTGTGGACTTGTTGGCATTTAAAAAGTGTCCCTTATAGTACCTTCTTTTTCATGTGGTCGCTTTCCATCATAATCTTTGGTCCAAGTGAAGACAAATCTTTTTCTGTCTGCAGGGATTCAGATTCTTGTTTTATCGCCTCAAACCTTGTTGACTTGCTTATTCCCACTGAGGATTCGAAGACACGTGACCAGTCAGCAGCGAAGAGGCCAATACCGTCTGTTAAAGGTTCCTTGGTGAGGAATTGTTCCATGAATTCTATAGCTGTAATTGCAATCGATCAATCAGTCAATTAGTCAGTAGTCCGTTCAATCAATTAATCAGTTTTTATTGAGTACTTTGATTCGCCGATTCTACCTTGCTTAGCATCAAGCATTCTGTATCCAGCTCTAGAGAGTAAATTCGCAACATTCTCCTGTCGTTGCAGTACTCCTGCTCCTTTGATAGGACCCCAATTGATAGACAGACCAGGCAGACCAAGCACTCTTTGTCTATAGCCAGCAAGGCCGTCTAGAAATGCATTAGCTGCTGAATATGCAGCCTGACCTGGGTTACCAAGTAAAGATGCAATAGACGAAAACATGACAAAGAAATCTAAGTCCATATTCAAACTCATTTGATGTAGAATATAGGCTCCTATAAACAAAGTTATATTCACATTAAAAGCCCGTTAAGTCTCTTAAATATAATTRCGTTTCGCATTTCCTCTATTTATACACAGAAATATATGAACATTAAGCCCTATTTCTAATTAAACATGACTGACTGTGATGATGCTGTAAAGTCAATGATTTGTAGTAGGGAAAAACAACAACCTTTTACTTTAGGCGCCATAACTTGATGAAATGTTTCTCGGTCGACCTGAGGAATTAGTTGATCACGTAAGACCATAGCTGTCAAGACGATTCCCGACATGCTTGGCAGCTTTGAAAGCTCTTTGCTATTCATCTCTATCATTTGCTCGTTGTCTGATACATCTGCTTGAAAGATCTTTATCTTTGCACCAGTTTCCTTTTCGAGTAATGACACTTCATGTAGTTTTGAACTTGAGGGTTTGGAACGAGCCACGAGCACAATTGTTCCGGCACCTGGAGAGCAAAATATGTATCATAAATAATGGAATTGAAAATGGAAGAAATAAATAAACTTTCCCTTCAAATCTCCCAGACTTTTCAAGGTTTATTCTTTAATTATAACGCCATACAACTTCATTTCGCTCACCATTGTAGGCTAACCATTTAGCAACTTCAAAGCCAAACCCTCTTACACCTCCGACTACCATGTACGTTCGGTCTTGTTTAAGCTTGTACTGGTCTATCCCGACAGGCATAACTTCAAAGGTGGAAGACGTTCCTTGTTCAGTTTTGAACGAAATAGAAGAAAAAGACAAATTTGGCTTATGCAATTGCTTAGTCTTTTCTTCTGGAAGYGGCTCAGAAGAGTTAAGTATATCATCGAATATGCTTGCTTCATGTTGGTTGATTTGGAGAATGTCTTTCATGGTATCTGTTGATGCCAGTAGCTGCCAGCAGGATGACCAAAGAGCCCTATACCTYCCTGGAGTATCTAAGATTTCAGTGTAGTCGATGAGTTGGCATGAGATGCTCTTATTTGATGATAGAACGACGCGACTATCGTGTATTTCTCCAAGAATAATTATCAGACCTCCTGGTTTCAAAAGTTGACAACTTCTTCTCATGCTGTTTGGGGGAGGCTCGTAGAAAAAGATTGCCGCTTCTGGTCTTTGTGACAGATCTTGGTCGRTAAGATCTGAAATGAATCAATAAAATYAATCCACGACYCACAATAACGTATTTGTTTTTGAATTCCAATAAAGTTTCATTGATTTTATCTAAAGAATGCTTAATACCTGATARGTAGGAATCTGTAACTAGCCAAGCCCCTTGTTCTTGGAGAAGACGTTTAGAGTCTTCAAAATGTGGATCTGAAGACGTACCGATTACAGAGTGTCCAAGAGCTTTTGCGATTAACATCCCAGCAAGACCAAGATCTCTATTAACCTCGTGAATAATGATCACCGCTCGCTTACATCCGYCAGAGGAAACGTTGACAGCCTGTTGAAGCGCACAATAAGCAAATGGAAGACAACCGGACAACGAAGCAGCTTGTGATAAGCTCAGTTCGACAGGGATCTTCATGGATTCGTCTTTTTTCACATAGAGAATGTTTGCAAGGCGGCTTGTTCTCGTCATACCAAAAACTAGCTCTCTGCTGGTTTCATTGCTGGATTCCGAAATGGTCATTGAACCAGAATATCCTATAATGAACGCTTTGGTGCCACGTAATTGCATGCTTATGTCGTTAGGAAGCCAGAAATTGGACACTCTAACTTCGATATTTTCTTCTGAAGGATATGAGTTCTCAGTTAATTTTCTTAAGCAGATTTTCCCAGTATTTGGGTTGGCAGCCAGGTAAACAGGACTTGACAACATCTCTGTATTCTTCAAATTCTCATCAGTGATTGATTGTGAACCAGGAGAAGCTCTAATAAGACGATTGGCAAACCGTTTATCTCCTCGAAGAACTACTTCATCATCAACATTCTCCAGCTGAAAAAAGAAGCTTGATAATTAAAGCTAGGAGTGGAGACGCCGAGACAAAAGATACCGCCACAAACAAACAAAAATATCATGTAATGGAATTGAGAAATAGGAACTCCAAATAATCAATTTGACAGAAGCAGGCAAGCGTGAAAAACATCATCACTGTAAATAATTGCAAACTGTTGCAAATATGGACTAAACTTACCAAAATTTCTCTCGTCAAGTGTTGCATTTCGCAGCGATCTGCTGTGCATAGGTCAACATTTATTGTCCTGATATTCTGAAATTCAAGACGAGCAGTCCTACATATTCCCCATACGGACGAGGCCCAGGGAATCTTTTCATCCTCCATGCTTGTAACAAACTGAGCACATCGACTAACAGCAACAAGTGTGCAAGTGACCTTGCTTGAAGACTGTAAATCTGAAAGGAACTTCAATACATCTAGCAATCTCATGCAACTTAATTCTTGCCATTGGTCAACATCTTTGATGGTAGGCAAAACAAAGAAAGTTTCAACTGGCCAAAAGTTAACGATGGTAATCTTTGAGTACAATCCAGCATGATGCGATACTGCAGTCTTCAGAAGGCTGACCAGGTCGACAGAGTCTACATCTTCAGGCTGCTTGACTACACAAATCTGAACAAAAAGCATGAGAGTTTACAATTAAGTGAATTCTTTATAAATAGTGCTGCTAATGCAAAAAACAGATTTGTACCTTTGCAGAACACACAGAAGAAAGAATATCCACAAATAAACAGCCAATTCCTTTACTCTCTACCATGACGAGGATAATACTGTCTGAAGTTTCAACGGTCTTAACATCAACGCTGACTTCAACCCAACTAGTTCGATACGCGATCTCATCGAGTCTCGGCAATTGGATCAAATTAGCAATTTCTGTTGACTGGAACTGCTCGATAATGGCGTACACCTTTCCAAATGAATCCACCAATCTCATATCATACGTAAATTTTTCCCCAGATGTGGTCTTGGTAACGTGACAGTAGCTTGTTCTTGGGATATTGGGGTCGATCACCTTGAAGGATTTTACTCCAATTGGAACTGCGGTTGGTCTGGTATTTTCACTTTCATCATCATCTTCGCACGCCACTGAAGTCTGTTATTAAATATATAAAATAATTTCTAATGTATAGTTTAAAGCACGAGAGAGAGTCTTTTATTGTCTTTCTAAAACTCATGAATTATTCATGAGACATTCTTCCAATGAGCATTCAACTATGGGTCACATGACAGGATCTATAACTCAAGTTATAAACACTGATTAATTAAACATGAGTCTTATAACTAACCGATTCAGTTAGTTATAACACTCATGCATAAAACATCAGTGTTGTAACTGATTTACAGACACTCAATGTGTGCCCAACACTAGAAAAGTTCTCAGTTTTAGACTCTCATCATAGAACTTCACTAGGTCTCGAGTTAAAATTACTTATTTGCAGAGTCACACTACACTAAAACATAGTGGCGCTTGGATGTGGGAAACCAAGTTGATTGCTGCTCATGCTCAGATGGAGATATCTTCATCAATTATTCATTTTTGATATTTTTTTATTTATTTCATGTTTATTGTAGTTTCTTAGGTTTGGGTTTTAGAAGTCATTTAAAAAACTCGTAGCTCGTGTTTAATCGTGGATATATATATCTCACGATAAAACACTCCTACTCGTTTTTTAAATATCACATAAAGATTCGAGCCGAAGGCGCGAATCTTTATACCTGATAAAACACGATCTCGAGTGTTTTTTAAAAACGGCTTAAAAAACTCCAACACTAATTTGAAACTCAAAGCCGTTAAAATTCTTGGAGAAATTGCCGTAAAAATTAGTTTTGAAATAAATGGGGCAAACTGATAATGCGCGAACCACTTTACAAAGCACTCTTGTCATCCCACATTGAATACGCATTAAGTAAAATAGAAGTGGTGATGTTTTACTGCAATAGCCGACTTGCGAGTTTTGACTCAGTAGTCGCACACAAAGGAATCAAGACGAGGCGCCGTGCATAAAGCTCAGTCATTCGTGAAAAGACAATAGTTTTTCACGATTGACTGAGCTTTACGCACGGCGCCTCATCTTGATTCTTTTGTGTTTGACAACTGKAGCGAAACTCGCAACTTGGCTATTGGTTGACATTCTGCATTGGTCAATGATCAGGTATCAAACCCGAGACCTTAGCTAGAGCCATGGACCTTTATATCTGATAAAGGTCACCCTTATTAGTATTCTTTATATAAAGAATACATCAAAAAGGAGCTGTTCTTATCAGATATAATAGTCCGTGCATGTGACCAAATTGGCTCATTCTATTGGCCTAATAACTCATTAATTATGTATGAGTTTTTTAAAATCACTTTAAATAGTTTTGCTATTCAAACTTTAATTGTAATCACTAGTCAATTAGGGATATTTTGCACGGTTTTCAGGTCAAACATTTTCAATTAATGCTCAAGCTCTTAAATTGTTACCTGAAAGCAGGCATCAACAAATGCAGGGTGAATTATGTACAGCGGGATTTCTCCATCAAATGGACCATCCATTTCAAGCATGCAAATAGCKTTATTCTCTTTCCGCCATATTTGCTTGACTAGACAATAACACGGACCAAAGTCGAAGCCCAACTTTCCGGTCAGATTTCGAAATGTGGATAAAGGCACCTCATTCATGTTGGACATGTTTTCCTTCAAGGCATCATTAACAACACCAGGCATCGCTAGTTTGTCGGGGGTTTCTAAAAACCAAATATGATATGAGTGTTTTACAGATTGATAAAAAATGTGATTGGGAAATATGAATGGTCGTTGAGAATGATCGTTGAAATAGTGACGTTTTTATAGTAAAAGTATTTCAGCATTGGCAAAATACCTTTAAACCGCGTAGAATAGATACATGAAGTTAAGGCACTTGAAGAATCAGCAAATACGCTTCCTTTGGCAAGAACCATCTCAATACCCTTCTCTTGTACATTACAAACGGAAAAAGTTCCTTCCGTATTGTTGGAATTCATCTCCAGTCTTAGCCTAAGCAAACGCACCTGTGACTCTGGTAGAGTCAAAAGGTTAGTAAATTGAACATCACGTACTTCAATGCTTCTTGACAGCTGAAACCTTTCTGCTGCCATGGCAATAGCCATTTCAACACAAGCTGATCCAGGAAGAACTGGTCCAACTTGAGTGATCACGTGGTCTTTAAATGTAGGAAAACGATGAAGATCAATCTCTGTCTCCCAGCACAAAACGCCAGAGAATTGCTCAGCTAATTTCACTTCTTTCAAAAAAGGATGGCTTTTTCGAAGTGTAAGGGCACTTGGTTTAAGGCCGCGCATTGTCTTCTCTGGTGACTGATCTCTGTACCAATATTCTTTCTCCTTCCAAGGGTAAGTGGGAAAGTGGATAAGCTGGCCATTTCCATACATGGCGGACCAGTAAATTGGGTATCCCATGGTGTAAAGCTTACATAAACTGTTCTTTAAGAACGCCTTGTGTTGTTCATGTTCATGTTTTGGTGGAAATGTTACAAGGTTGCGTATCGATTGGCTTGTGTAGGTACTAACATGTTTCCCAATGTTGTGGAGATAGTGCTTTAAAACTGGCTGCGGACTTATCTCGATCATTGTGTTATAGCCATCTTTGAGGGCCTGAGTAACAGCTTGATAGAACAAAACACATTGTCGCATATTTCGCCACCAATAAAGTCGATCTAACTGGTTGAGTGAGACCTTGTCACCCACAACTGTTGAGTACATTGGCATCCGCATCAACTTCGGTTCAAGCTTGATGTTTTCCATTTCACTGCAGCATGGTGCCTTGACTGCATCAATGTATGTGCTGTGAAAAGCTCGCGAAGTTGAAAGAATCTTCCAGAATATGCCAGGATGATTTGACTTGATGTGATTTCCCATGCATTCCACCGAGTCTTTATTGCCAGAAATAGTGACACTATTCTGGTCATTGACAGCTGCGATACAGACTACGTTTTCCAGTCTCAAATCAATGATTATCTGCTGAACTTTTTCTTTTTGCATTCCAACAGCAGCCATAGATCCCTCTCTTGAGCATTTTTCATGATTTGTTGACCGTATCAAAATTAGTTGCAGCGCCTCCTTAACAGTTAAGGCTCCACAGCAACATGCCGCTGCAAGTTCTCCAAGACTATGGCCTACTACAGCAGATGGATGGACACCCCAAGACTCCAGGAGTTTATAAGAGGCATATTGGATAGCAAAGCAGGCTGGCTGGCCAATAATGTTACCCATGATTCTTTTTCTGTCGGATGACATTATTTCGTCGACCAAAGACCAACTTTCTCCGATATCTCTTAGCAATCTGTCAACTTCATATATATGCTCGCGAAACAAGGGCTCACAATTCATCATTTCTTTACCCATGCCTTCCCAATTAGCACCTTGGCCACCAAAAACAAATAAGATACTTTGTTTGGTAGAAACGGCAACTCCAGAGATAACACCAGCATCGCTTTTGTTGTTTGCAAAGTTATTCAAGGAAACAGCAGCTTCGTCTACAGTCTCAAACACAACACCAAGACGACATTTGTGGTGACTTCGTCGTTCAGTGAGAGAGTAACACAAATTTAGTTTAAATTCATGTTCATCGGGTTGATCTACTAACCAAGACTCACACTTTTTTGCAAGACGTCGAAGGGCTTCATCTGATTTTGCAGATAAGGTTAATATGAACTTGCTTTTATCCAATTCGTGCTTGCTGTTTAATCTGCTAAACTGCGGTTGGACCCCTCTGAGAATAGCATGCACATTCGAACCTCCATACCCAAATGAATTGATGGCTGCAATACGACAGCTTTTATCGTCCTTTGTCCACTTCTCGCATGACTCTTGAACAACCATGCCTTTCTCAGGAAGCTTCAATTTTGGATTCATACTTAAAATGTTGACGGTTGGAAGAAAAATCCCTTTTTTGATCATTAAAGCAACTTTGATCAATCCTGCAAGCCCTGAGGCCGACTCTGTGTGGTTGAGATTTGACTTTACAGAGCCAATGCGCAGGATTCTCTGTTTTGCAGCAGTTCTGTCGCAGTAAGTATTGGCAATGGATGTAGTTTCTACAACATCACCAATGGCTGTACCAGTTCCATGTGCTTCTACGTACTCAATGCTTGTTGCAGGAAGCCCTGATTCTTCAAGTACCGCTTTCGAAAGCTCGGTCTGTGTTTTAGCACTTGGCGCTGTGATTGGGTTGGCATTCTGCCCATCGTTGTTCATTCCACAAGCAACAATCTCGCAGTAGATATCATCATTGTCAGCCTTGGAAACCACTGTAGGCTTAAGAATGACGGACACAAAACCTTCACCTCGCCCATATCCATCAGCGGATGCATCAAAGCATTTGCAGCGACCGTCTGGAGCAAGGAGACCCCCTATACTGAAAGTCATTTGGACTGAGGCGTCGAGGACTATATTGGGTGCACAGACGATTGCAACATCACATTGATTGCTTAACAGACAGCACTGAGCAATTTTTAGAGCTGTCAATGATGAAGAGCATGCTGTATCGACAGACAGACTAGGACCAGTCAAATTCAGACAGAAAGAGATGCGATTTGCAACAATAGACGACGTTGTCCCGGTTGAGTAAAACTGATCCATGTTTGCACGGTTATCGGGCTGCATGACGCGGGTTCCGTAATCAAGATTCATGACACCAACAAAGACCCCAGTTTTACACTTTTGCAGATCTTCAAGACGAAGCCCAGCATCTTCAATCGCTTCATAAACAACCTGTAAAAGGATTCTTTGTTGGGGGTCCATTGCTGGAGCTTCTTGATCGGAGATATTAAAGAACTCAGCATCAAACGCACGTATATTTTCAAGAAAGGCTCCACCAACTGTACAAATTCTTCTCTTAACAAATCGTTTTGGATGATATAGATCATGAAATATTTCGTACTCCTCTTGGCGATTGGATGGAAATTGGCTGACAGCACATTTGCCATTTGAAAGCATTTTAAGAAACTTTTCCTTGCTATCTGCTTGAGGAAATCTGCAGCTTATTCCGATAATACAGATAGTGGACTGTTGTTGTTGCTTTTCGAAAGATGTTCCATTTGTTTCTGTGTTTGGTTCAACGAGTTCGTAATGACCCGAGAGTGTCTTAACATCCTGATACAAATCTTCAATTGCCATATATTTCATCAGCTTTTCTGCAGGCTTGCTCGAAATCAGAATTATAACTGGCAAAAGAACTAAGCTGTGGAACAGCGCGAACACAAACAACAGCGGAAGTATGCACAAGAATATTGTAGACAAAAATGGAAAAACATATGAAAGAAACATCGAGCACACAATGAAAATCAGGACACCAATTAAGATACTTGGACCTGCAGATTTTAAGGCAGCCATTGTTCTCTTCTCTGCTGTGGTTTCAGTAGCCAGGGACCGTACTTGCAGAATATGTATGTTAACATGCAATGATAACATAATTCCAATAAACAAACAATAGAATGACACTGGGTTTAATGGGATATGCCAAATATGTGTGAGCACGATTACTTCCTCGACATGGAGAATGAAGGATATGACGAGAAGAATACCAATCCTTATGCTTACTGTCAGAGGCTGGGGACACAACAATATTGCGAGACCAACGACTATCAAGATATTGAAGGCTTCACTTCTGAATGCAGCAACCATGTCAAACAAAAGAAAACGATGATTCGCAGGTACAACGACGAAATTTGTTTTTTCATTTAATTTCTTAACATCTTTCCTCAGGGAATAGAGTTGCTCTGTCCCTTCCAAGATACTTCCTTTCGTATTCATAAATAGATGGACTCGCGAATATCTAACCTTCGAATTCCCTTCAGTTGTGTTTGAAAATACAATGTCTTTTTTGTACATGGCATTTCTGGGAAGAGCTAGGAATTTCTGGAGACAAGGTGTAAAGTAACGCATTCGACAGACACCTCTATTAGCATCAGACCAAGATAGCAATTCAGTAAGCCAGCTTGTTATGTTTCCAGTACTGTACCTCTTTAGACGGCTCAAACTTTTCGTAAAGTTTTGGATACTTTGCTGAACAGCTGGGTTTTCATAGTCAATTTGTGAATTCGAGAATATAATGTTTACATCAATATACTGGAAATACTTCAATTCAGTAGATATGAAGTTTGCAACACTTGACGTCTTCATCAGTGCTGTGTTATCTTGATAGTCCAGATCATTTGCATAGTGTATATATGCACATCCAGTCATTATTCCTATTGTTAGAAGTACTACCAAGATTTTAGAAGGTTTTTTTGTCAGTAATTGGACATATTTTTCAAATATTATGAATCTTCCATTCACTTCTTGCGTGTCATCATTAAGGTTGGGGTCTCTGTCGTGGACACAACAGCAGATTATTTGGTTGAAAGCAGATGGATATTTCTGTAACAACAGAGAAATGCATCCCAACAGGAAAGGAAAAAACAAAAGGTATCGAAGAGGAATTCCAATGAGTGCAACCAAAAACGCATCCTTTATGATTGTAAAGATAGTAAGTTGTGTAAAGCCAAACACAACAACATCAAAAAGAGCTGTTGTTGTAGTAATCAGACCCACGTTTGTAGCACAACTCGCGATGCGATGCTTAACAGAGGGAGTGGTCATGAGATTTTCCAACTCATACACTATTAGTAAAATATCGACAATCCCTCTTAATCCAAGAAAYAGGAGCACGACAATKGTCRCATTTGAGAACGAAACACCAACAGCAAAGCTTATCGCCACGGAAGAGACCATGTATATCCCCACACAGAGAGATCCGATAACTATTAAAAACGCTGCGCCTTTAGATTTAAGTAAAAGAGTGGATATAAAACCAACAAAGAAAATAATAGGAATTGAGATGAAAAGATAACTAGTTTGTGGGTTGAAGAGTTTTGAATCAGCCCCCTCTCTTCCGCCCTGTGAAAGAAATAGAACACGAGTACATTTTAGTTTGTCCTGATATGACTTCATTTCAGATGTAAACTTCTCTTCCCACAAATCTATGGACGCCTTTAAGGATTTGGTATGCGGCTGCTTCAGGAAGTACACTATCTTCATAGCTCTTGCAGAAAAACTGTACTTGTTTCCAACTTTTGGCACATGCGTCATTTTGAAATCACTTAACATCTTGTTCTTGAGAAAGGACAACGTGCGTCCATTGGAAAGTAATTTGGGTTCATTTCCAGTCAACTCACGAGTTAGCACCGTTGAAAAGTTTTGAAGCATTTTGGAATTAAATCCCAATACTTCAAAGATATTGACCATCATGCAGGGACCTGCAGATCGACTTCTAAAGCATACATTCCGATAACCTGTAATGTTAGTTACAGCAGTATGGATTATTAGAGCTTCTTGCAAGCATTTATGAGTAAGAATATTCGATTCTGCTGCTGGAATAAACATTATCTGTTCTTCTCGAATATCATTGGGTTCAAATGCCTTTAGGAATTTTAAGTGTCCTTTGGATAAGCTCTGCGAAGGGTAGATTGCTATGTTGTTTGAAACACGCAGGCGTACAAATCCCAAACAGCCCAATATCATGCAAAGAATACAGAAAAAGATCACGGATTTAGGATATCGTGCGATGAGAAACCCAAATTTTTCCAAAGCTTGCTGAAACTTAACTTGCGGTTTATGTATACACAGAATAGATCGTACGACACATGGCGTGGTTTCTTGTCGGTGTGCATGTGGTTTGTCCCTCGCAACACTAGGAATAGTAATGATGTGTATTGTTATCTATTTGGATTTTCAAAGCGTTCGCCTTGGTTATTTTTATTACAAAACTGTTGCATCGCGACCTCAAATTTTTGTAGCTTTTTTTAGGTCAGTGTTTTTCTTTTCTTCGAACTAGAGGCGGAGCTTGTGTGCCGATTATGCATTTCAGTATATGACACCAGAATGAAGCATTCTCCAAAAATATCAGAATGACTTCGAATAGCTATATAAGGCTTTCTGATAGGTTTTTAAAGATACTCTTAAGTCGTTAGCTGGGAAATTTACAAAGAATCACTGGAAAAAAATCGCGCGCTTTACAGCGGAAATCGTTGCATCGCGACCTCTTTGTTTTGAAGTTTGTCTGGATTTTGTTCTTTCTTTCAATTTGAGGGGTGGAGCTTTTCGAAAACTAGTTCAGCAGGAGCCCTCCTGCGTTCAGTCATTTGCTGATTAGTATCAGAAAAACCTAAATCCCAACGATTTCCTTTGAACATTGAAGTAGCGATGCAACGGTTTCTGCTGTAAAGGTTGTAAATTTGATGTAAATATGATGTAAGTGTCTAAAATTCTGTAAATTTGATGTAAATGATTTCCATTAAAATTTACAGAATTTTGGACACTTACATCATATTTAGTCAGTCTAGCAGTTTTGTCGCGTTTGGACCACCGGAAGTTAAGAAATTAATAATTAACTATTGGGTTRGCTGTGTTATTACATGACCGGAAGCTCAAACGTATTATAGATGTACGAATATCGTTAGTAAATGTTATATTCTACTTGCGCTTTTATGTGATAAAAAAACTATTCGTTTACAAATGTGGTATCTGTGATCTCATCGGAATGCATCAGTCTAGGCATCAGAAGTACGCGCATGTGCGGATCACATGGAGCTTCGAGTAGTATGCTTACGAAACTGAATTCTAGCGTTATACAGTCTTGTTTTGGCAAAGATTTCAAATTTGAACATTAAGAAACTTTGTTTATCAATAACAAAAAGGCGACTTTGATTATTTTATAGGCATCTTTTATTTTTTTTAAAGTATATATTTTCTTGGCTTGAGAGGTCAACAATTTGAATTAAAAACGTGTTAGATATCATGATATCACTTAGCGACATTGGGTCTACCACGTTTGATTTTATCAGTTCAGTTGTAAGGTAAAATATACTCTGTTCGCAGGGTATTACTTACATGACCGTTTAGGTCAAATTTAGATTTCTATCGTTTTGAAGTCGTTGCAGAGAGCAGTCAAATAGAATATCACATCGTGTGAATACTAAACGGTTTTGAACACTACATTAATTAAAGTGAAAGTAACGCATTCTTGCTKTCACTATGTATTAGAAGTGAAAACTATATATTCTAYGCCATAATTTACATTCATAATATAATCATATGATTAGAMAGWATATAACATCATAATCTTATCGTGTTTAACTCGTTCTCCTATACGGGCATCCATGTAATATTCTGTCTTTATAAATTTTCAAAAATAGCTAGTCCGACTTCACACTCCAAGAGCGTTTAGTTACATCAAATTTATCAACAACCTTTAAAGCGCGCGATTTTTTCCAGAGAATGCAGATTTCTTTTGTCTACCGGAAACAGTTTCGTAAAGGAATTAGCATACGCTCCGTCCACATGTCACTCTCGCAGAGACTAGACAAATGCCAAAAAAGCTTTGAAGTCGCGATGCAACGACTTCTGTTGTAGCTAGCCTGATTTTASGAGCCTTGGTACGACGCGAAAAGTCTGCGCCTCTCTGAAAAAAGACTGTTTTTTAAAGAAAGGGAACTATAACTAAAAAGTATCACGGATTTTTTTCAATAATCATTCTCGACATGGAAGTACCTAATTTTTTTGATTTGTACTCCTTCCTTCCGAGTACAACATTTTCGAATTCAAAGGGAAAACCGCTGCTTTATTTGAACGCTTTTTATTTGAAAGGATTCTCTTGCGCAAAGACCTTACCTTACCAAACACAAAAGAAAGCGCGAAAAAATTGAACATTTGCATTTTCACTAACCCTTTTCCCATAAGACCTAAGGTTTAGCCTTTTGGGAATACAGGGTGAAAACTCGGAGAAAAAAAGTCAATCYTGCYTTGTCTTCGCTTTTTATAGCCATTGTTCTCTCGTCATTTTCAAAAGGAATTTGAAATAAAGTTATTCTATAACTTTTTGAGGCTTCGTTCGAAARGTTTCCGACACAACATCGAAAAACCATTGCATAAAAAAGTAAAAATATTCCCTTCGAAGAAGATAAATGTCAAGCTTTCTCAAGTACGTGATAGATGTTTTTGATCCGAATACGCATGCCCGTAGGTCTAAGTTGACGTCACAGCTGACCTTCGACCCAGATCGTTTTTTCTCTTCGCCTAACACAGGCTACCCAGAAGCGCATATTCAAACTCAAATATCTCGCTCAGAATTTATCCAACCGAGCTCAAAAATACATCATTTGAAAGCTCATGTTTTATAGAATTTGTTCAAAATGTTCCATTTTTAGGGGTGATGTGCACTTTAAATCAAGATCCCTTTATTGAAGATATCAGTGCTACCGTACGTTGCTAACTGCATTTAGATCAAGTCAAACTGAGCAATTATGCAAGGTAACTTCCACTGAGTGGTTCTCGTTTCGCCTTAACACAGGAATCCCGTGAAGAAGAGATGTCTGCGAAACCAATGCAAATGCTTAAATTTTGACTGTCCGTAGTTTGGTTGGTGCTAAATGACTACTGATCGGCACACAAAACTGTCAAAACTGATTTCCAACTTGAAGGTTGACTTGCACTTGACMTTTTCCGTTCCTAAACCTACAAATTTTCCCCCACAGCAAACTAGACTTATCAGAGGGTCCCAATGGGGTTAACCGTGAAAAAATAGTCGTGAGTCGTGAAAATGAGAAAAAATTAGCCGTGAGGCGTGAATATTTTTTTATAGCGTGAGCCGTGATTCAGTATTGTTCCTCAGAAGGACAGTCAACTCCAAGAGCGCGCTTGTAATTTTTTTTTAGTAAATTTAAAAAATAAAATCTTTAGTGGAGAATTTTGCCTTGCAAGAATTTTTTTCGGCCCTTCGGACCCGTATCATTAATTTTAAAAATAGTTAGTTTTGTAAATCGATAAAGTTTAGAAAATTGAATGATTTCATATTAAAGGCTGAAATTTTCTTTGCGTTTGTGCCGGTCACTTCTTACCAATGGACTGCGCCCAGCATAGGCTGATTGGCTTAGGTTAATATTTCGATATATTAGTCTTAACACCTTTAAAACAACTATATATATACTTAGTTTTATTGGAAATAAAAATCAACAATATTATAACCACAAGTACATAACTAGTTTTATCATATATCAAGCGTCAAAGTTCACTTTTCCTAGTATCTTATTGGTCGAGAGTGTACCACGTGAAAGTCACAAAATTTTACTGTTTCCCGGTAACTGTTAAGGCTCAGTCTCCAGCCGTCGGGATTTCGTGCGCCCGCGATACTCTCTCCCTTGACGGCTGGGCGCATGGGGTTCGCTATTGTCAGTCTCGACCAATCAGCGAGTGGCCCCCGATATTTTCAGGGGCATATCATTAATAAATTAGCAGGCAGCCGTCGTCGCAGTGTAACAAA